GTTATATATCTATATATATATATAATCTCCATATATATGTATGTATATATATATATATGCCCCATTTTATTCTTCACACATGAACAGCCAATTGTTCTGGTATCATTTAATGAAAAGCCTGCTTTCTCCACTGAATTACATTAGAAAGTTGCCTTTGTGCATTGACAAAAATAAATAAGTAAATGTATGGGTTTATTTCTGGACTCTGTTCTAATGAGACATTCTGTATCTATCCTTAGGCAGTACCACATTTTCTTAATTACTTCTTTGTGCATTTAGTTTGAAAATTGGACAGGGTGATCCCTCCAACTTTGGTCTCTTCAAGATCATTTTGGTTATGGTCCATTTCTAGTTTTGTGACCTACACACACACATACGCACAAATTAAATCTAGATTCTATATATGAAAGTAAATATATTTGTCTTTCTGTGTCTGCTTAACATTATTTCTGGTCACATCGATTTTTCTGCAAATGTCAAGCTTTCATTTTTTCCTTATGTCTGCATAAAATTTCATTGTGTATATGGACCACATTTCTTTTAATCGTCTGCCTGTTGATGGACAGGTAGGCTGGTTCCATTGCCTGTGAATAGTGGAGCAGTAAGCATGGATGTACAAGTATCTCTGTTTCTTTCTTTTTTTTTTTTAACAAGATCTTGCTGTGTAGCTCGTTGGCCTCAAACTCCAGCAACCCTTCAGCTTCACACTCGTATAAATACACAATACACCCCTTTCCCATCTGCAGTTTTGCCTAGCTCAGGTAGAATCAACCTCGGTACCATGCCATTAATATACCACTTATGTTTTCCTCCTCACTGTTTGGCCCTTGGAGGGAGTTCACTCTGGTGCCTATGCCATCCCAATTCTACTCCCCCTCCATCCTGGTTCTGTCCTGGCTCGGGGTCTCCATTGCTGCAGTCATTCCCTAGCTGGCTTGAAATGCTCCAGTCCCTACTTCCACTGCCCCCACAGTAACTGCACTCTCAGTTCAGATCAGAAAGCATTCCAGCTTAAACATGAGCTGGTTGTTAGATAAGAGGGATTATGATGAATTTTCTTTGGCCTGATAATGCTTTTGTGAGCAAATATCCATATTCACAGGAGCTATATCTTCAGGCACTTAGTTGCAAAATGTCATCTGCAACTTATTTTCAGATTGTGTGAGAAAGTGGGGAGGGAGCAGATAGAATAAAGTTAGCAATGGTTAAACTGGGCAGAGGGCATCGGAGTATTACTTTACTATGCTGTAAGCTTTCCCTTGTATTTGAAACAGTTCGGGAAAGCAGGTTAAAGAAGACAGACTGTATCCCCAGTCCTTTAGACCCTTTCTCAGAAAAATAAAGAAACAACAACAACAACAAAAGAAGTAGGTATGATGGCTCATACCTGTATTCCAGCACTTGGGAGGCAAGGCAGGAGGACTGTCACAAGTTCAAGACCAACCTGGTGTACATAGTGAGACTTTGCTATTACATGCACACACGCGCGCGCGCACACACACATTGGTTGCATCTGCATAAAAGTGTCCAATGCCAGCTTCAGTTAAGTCCTGTTCACAACACACATGCACACATACCCATACACACACACACACACACACACACACACACACACATTGGTTGCATCTGCATGAAAGTGTCTCATGCCAGCTTCATTAAGTCCTTTTCACAAACAATCTGAGTTCATTACTAAACTCTTCGATTGTACTAAACTGGGGATTCTTTCTTGTGGCTTTGCTTTTGTTTTGTTTTACTTCTGGACAGGGTCTTACTGTGTCAGCACAGAACATGCAACCCCCCCAAATGCTGGGCCTCGCCCTGCCCCACTTAGACTGAGGGCTTCCTGAGAATAGAATTGATTCTTTCTTCACGTTAGCCCTTTCTTCTCTGCTGAAACATGACTGTAACTCTCTGTTGGTTGATGAAAAGCCCACCAGATGAGTAGTATGCACCTAGAAGTTGGTGGGTCCCCCCACCCCTTGTTGGCTGCAGCTAGACTCCTTAAGCCTCCCGTTCTCACTAAATCTTCCTCTGTGTTCTTCCCACCTGTACTGGCCCGTAGAACTCCGGATCAAGAGACAGAATTCCTCAGATAGCATCTCCAGCCTCAACAGCATCACCAGCCATTCCAGCATCGGCAGCAGCAAAGACGCTGATGCCAAAAAGAAGAAGAAGAAGAGCTGGGTAGGTGATGTTTTGGGGGCTGACGTGGTAGTTACATTTGTCCCAGTGCAGGGAACAGATCCTTTCAGGATCCACCAGGAGGTAGTCCCTTCTAGTAAAGTGTCAGTCAGTGTGACGTCTGTTGACGTCTGCTGGGAACAAAGTCTAAGTCCCCATTCCTCCAACCATTGTATACTCCCCCACCATCACTCGCCCTGCAGTCTTTACACTTGTCTGCTTTCCTGGGGCTCTACCTACTGATGCGGTCAAATGTTCTTGGCCACAGAAGGAGCTGAGAAAATATCCAGGGGGTGGGAGGGAGGGAATTACATATCAGTCCCTCCCCTACTCTCTCATTGTGGAGAGAATTTATAAGACAAGTCACTCATTCTAGATTCTAGGGGGCCTTGGTTTGGGAGAGGTGTCTCTGGCTAGTCCAGGGGTGGGTTTGTTATGTGTGTTGTCCCCGTCCCCTCCCTACCCCCCATAGCTCTAAACTGACCCTGGATGAACTTTCTAAAGTCTTCAGGCAGGTGTAGGGCATTGTCTGACTGACTGAGAGGGAGAGTGACCCAGAGTGAGCGTCTTGTCCCTGTCGCCTGCTGAGGAAGGCTGGCCACAGACCTTCACCTGGTGCAGACAGGAGCCCGCTGTGTGAAACAGCTGTGTGAAATGAATGATTAGTGTCGCTGCTGCTTCTTTTCATTTTTTTTCTTTTTATTTCCTCAAAATGCTGACTTCCAATCCCTATTTTTTTCCAGGTTTATGAGGTAAGAAACTCGGTTCCTCTCCCTTTACTTTTTCTTTCCCTTTGCACACCCTCCCTATTTCCGGAGCAAGTTCCCTCTCTTTTAAAAAAAAAAAAAAAAAAAAAAAAAAGGTCACCCATAACCCCAACTGCCCCAGTTCCTAACTCACTCCACTGCATGGTCCATCCACGCTGCCCCCCATGAGGACAGAGGAGTGGTCTGCTAAGGGGTCAAATGGGAAGTCCTAACAAAATCCAAAATTATTGCCTGCCATCTTCCCCTGGTCCAAGATTGGCCTATTATAAAAACCAGACCCATTGAGCTCCTGTTATCCAGAAAATGAGCATTCTTTTCCCTACTCACAGTAAACTCCTAAAATGGAAGAGAATCCATGAAGGTTATCTGAGTCACAGCTTCTGGAAGGCTGTCCATTTTGGGCTTATCAAAAATTAGCTTTAGACAAGTATGAACTGGAGAAAGGTGAGGGATTTATTTCATCCAGGGTAGGCAATGTTCATCACCCCAAAGGCCATGGAGCGTCCAAGGACAAGTCAGGGACTAGAGTACTGTTCGAGGCAAGCATGATGTGGCCCAGAATTTTTATTCCAAAACAGATAGGTGTGCTCCTGATGCTGTACTAGGATGTGAAGGATGGGGAAAGCTGAGCTCATTGCCCCAGTCAGTAGAAGCCCACCAATCTGGTGTGTGTGCCTAAATCCCAACACTAGGGTGACTGAGACAGGACGAGCACCATGAATTCAATGGCAGCCTGGCCTACATAGTAAATTCTAGGCCTGACCTGAGTTGACTCCGGAACCCACACAAAAGTGGCAGGAAAGAACTGGCTCTACAGAGTTGTTCTCTGACCACACACACGTGCTGTGGCAGGTGCACAGAGATGGAGAGGCCAGTTGTTCATCTAAATCTGGATATCTAGAGGAGCATTGCCCAGTGTGCTGTGCAGATCACCAGGCCACTGGGATGGTCCTTAAAGACTGGCAATACCATCAGAAACCTCTGAGGGGCGCTGAATTTCCTACCTAGCATTATCTATGTTAGGAAAGTTCTAAGACACCCCGTCCCTAGCAGAGAGTCCTGGTTGTCTGCTAAATACATTGGTTGGACCATGCAACCAGTGTCGCTCTGCAGGAGCAGAGCAGATGTCTCCCTGCAGCCCGGACTGTCAGAGTACTGAAGGTTACATAGAGCGCTACTGTCATAGAAATGCAGTGATTTCAGAGGGCTCAGCTGTGGGCAGACATGCTCACAGGATTTCTCTCTAGAGAGGGAAGGAGACAGAGACAAGAGATAGACTGACTCGACAGTGATGTGGAAAAAAAAACTCCACCACATTGAAAACCGGGAAGCCTGGATGTCTTCCTTGAGATACACAATGCCACGTCAGTCAGTCTCAGCTCTTCCTCTCTACAACTGCAACTTTATAATACTTTTGAGCCCTGGTTGCTCCGTGGCCCACCATGTGCACATATACTCTCCCCTAAGTGCCCCAGCCAGCTTGGTCCTCATGTCTTACCTACAAGGTCCACACACACCATGTTCTAGCTCCATAAGCTCCCAGGAGACCTCAGACATGTTCTGAGAAGGACACCTAGAAAGGAGCTACTCAGTCCTCCCAGCCCCCACCCTGCCACACACACACACACAGCTTTTCATTTACTGTCCCAAAGATCTGGCTTGCCTTTGTCCCCTATAGCCTTCGACCCCTCCTTTACTCTCTGTCTCTTGCTGCCATCCCATGTCTATGTTCCTGTGTGTGCGTGTGTGTGTGTGTGCATGCTGTATGGAGGCATGTGAATGGGTGTGGGTCAGGTCCTTGGCTTGCATATCTAGCTCACACCCCTAACCCCAAAGCTCATGGTCAGATTATAATGTCCCAAGTAGACAAAGATTGGCTGGAAGATATTATTCTTGGACACTTGGCATAGTAAGCAGTGCCGAAAGGTGGGCATGGAGGTAAACACCTGTGATCCCAGCACTTGGGAGGTAGACGCAGGAGGATCCAGACATCAAGATCACCCACCGCCACATACTGAGTTCAAGGCTAGCCTGGCCTGCATAAGGCAAGTCCCTGTCTTAAAAATAAGGAGGAAAGACAAATAGTTGGTTGTTTTCACCACTATGCCATGGGCTGAGAACAAGAAATAGTACATGAAATGAGATCACTTCCTCGTCTTGATTCTCTTAGGACTATGTTGTCAATTTCTAGTTCTGTGAAGTTGTGAAGAGATTAATAGATTCTTTTAAAATGTGCCCAAGTCAGAAGGAGCATCCTAAGACCCACAGAGAGTGAGATTCTAGAGTAATCAGCCAATGGAGGAAGTGAAACTGGACTGTTGAGAGGTGTACCATGTGTCGTCTGGGGAGCTTTTTCTGTCATGAGGGACACAGTTCCCTCCATGAATTCAGCAAGTTCCCCTGACCTATAATGGCAGCAAACCAAGTGGTCCTCTCTTTTGCTCAGTCCTGACTTGTAGATAGCTCCTCTGTCCACATACCACCAGTCAAGTGACATCTCACAGAATGGGTATAATTACAAGTAAATCCCCTGCCTCCACATCCTCGTTCCGGCCCTAAGTCATCCTCCCTGTCCCAGTATAGAGCCTTGACGTCTCCCTCCCTGGAATCTGCTCTCTTCTAGCTTCGAAGTTCCTTCAACAAAGCCTTCAGCATTAAAAAGGGTCCCAAGTCAGCCTCCTCGTACTCTGATATCGAGGAGATTGCCACACCTGACTCCTCAGCCCCGTCATCCCCCAAACTACAGCATGGGTCCACAGAGACTGCGTCCCCCTCCATCAAGTCCTCCAACTCATCGTCTGTGGGCACTGAGGTCACCGAGTAAGTGCTCTCTCCACTGGCCACCCTGGTAAACTGCTGGCCTTTGCCTGGGCATGTGAGACCCACAGAGGAACCCTTCCTGACAGACCAGAGGGGTGCCAATAGGCAGAAGGAAGCAAGACTGTAGGCCAGGCATGTCAGTATCCCCTGCTCTTCAGTGCTTCTCTGGGATCCAGGCTGACTCTTGCTTCCTTACAGGGTCCCTGCTAATTCAGTCCCCCACACTAGACTGTTCCAAGCCAATGAGGAGGAGGAACCTGAGAAGAAAGAGGTATCGGAGCTGCGCTCTGAATTATGGGAGAAAGAAATGAAGCTTACGGATATCCGGTTGGAGGCCCTAAACTCTGCCCACCAGCTAGACCAGCTTCGGGAGACTATGCACAACATGCAGGTCAGTGTCTGGGCAGAGCTGCAGGAGGGGAGAGCGGGGGCCAACATCCGTGCCACCCTGCCACCTGCCCTGTCTCTTCTGCCCACAGTTGGAGGTGGACTTGCTGAAAGCAGAGAATGACCGGCTGAAGGTTGCCCCCGGCCCCTCCTCAAGCTCCACTCCAGGGCAGGTCCCTGGATCGTCTGCTCTGTCATCCCCTCGCCGTTCCCTGGGCCTTGCACTCAGCCATCCCTTCAGTCCCAGTCTCACAGATACAGGTACCTGCTTGGGAAGAGCTTGTGTGGGTAGAAAGAGAAAGGGCGTATTTACATCATGTGCCATGGCATCTTTGGTCCAGGAGGTAATGGCATTGAAACCAAGAAGATCCCATTGTCAGTAAGCACTATGGTTCCCATCTCTTCTTCGTCATAAATAAGGAATCAGCATTTGGAATGGAAAATAACTACAAAGTTTGGGGTAAGGCTGAGTCCTTAAAATCAATTAGTCTTTTTCAACCTGCACAGACCTATCGCCCATGGATGGCATCAGCACCTGTGGCCCTAAGGAAGAAGTAACCCTTCGGGTGGTGGTACGCATGCCACCCCAACACATCATCAAAGGGGTAAGGGCTTCAGGAAGGGCCAGTGTAGGAAGCAGCGTGATACAGACAGCCACAGATTTGCACTGTTTCAAAAGAAATGTATGTTTGGTAGAAACTGTACTTGCATTTTGATCTGTCCCTGGGCTAGCCCTGTGCAGTAGGAAACACTCTCAAGCCCTGGGATGATGACAGGGAGCCACAGCGCCCAGCCAGCCACACACCCATGAGAGTAAACAGCAGCAAATGCTCCCGTGGCTTTAGTGTACTGAATGCACTTTGGACTCACAATATTTGAATTCTTAATGGTTTTATCATGGGGTGGGGGAAGGAGGACAGGGTCTCATTTAGCTCAGACTGACCTTGAACTTGCTGTATAGCAGGGGATGACATAAAATTTTGATTCTCCTGCCTTCACATCCCTCCGTTTGACAGTCTTATGGGGCTATCACATAAAATAGAGAAGCTGTACTGTCTGTCACACTTTTGGAAAAAAAAAATTCAGAGCTCTGAATATCCCCAAAACTAGACTCCTAAGCTCCTGAGGCTTTCTGGGATCCCCCCTTTCTAGTGTCATCTGTGCTGAGGCTCACGTGCCTCAACCTTAACCTTACAGGACTTAAAGCAGCAGGAGTTCCTCTTGGGATGCACCAAGGTCAGTGGCAAAGTGGACTGGAAGATGCTGGATGAAGCTGTTTTCCAAGTGTTCAAGGTAAGGTGATTCTCACCCTCAACAGAGATGCTCATCTTCTCAAAGGGCATTCAGCCATCCAGGCACTGGGATCCTGGGAACCTTTGGCACTTTATTGAGGGGCCAAAATAGGAAAGTGCACATACCCTATTCCTCCTACGCCTCCTTTCATTGCCTATAATATTTGTTTTTTCTTGCTGCTTTTCCGTCGGTAGTTACACCTTTTCAGCATGCTCACGATCTTCTTGTCCTCCCACCTCTTCTACCAGGACTACATTTCTAAAATGGACCCAGCTTCCACCCTGGGACTAAGCACCGAGTCTATACATGGCTATAGCCTCAGCCATGTGAAACGAGTGTTGGATGCTGAGCCTCCAGAGATGCCCCCTTGCCGCCGAGGTGTCAATAGCATATCAGTCTCCCTCAAAGGTCAGTCTTTGTCTCTTGGGGTGAGAGAGTGTGCCGTGGAGGCAGGGAGAGGATCGTCGAGTCATGCATCATCCGTTCACATAACAAGAAATTACTGAGAAACCCTAATGTGAATGTGCTTAAGTAACAGAGAAAATAAAAAGGACCCAGTCTGATGTTTTTTTGCCAGTCTCGGGCTGCTTCTCTACCCATTCTAAGTCAGAGTGCATCCCTAAAATTGAGATCCGGGCTTTCAAAGCTGGGTTGAGGCGATTCCACTGGAACCCTAAGAGAGGTGTTTCTCACTTTTTTCAGTGGACCCCTAAATGGTGAAGGAAAGGTTCTCTGGGTATCTTGCCATCCTCAGAGCTGCTTAAGACTCGTGCTTTCTGGGGTGGGGTACAGGTCTGAAGGAGAAGTGTGTCGACAGCCTGGTGTTCGAGACGCTCATCCCCAAGCCCATGATGCAGCACTACATAAGCCTCCTGCTCAAGCACCGGCGCCTCGTGCTCTCCGGCCCCAGTGGCACCGGCAAGACCTACTTGACCAATCGGCTGGCTGAGTATCTGGTGGAGCGCTCAGGCCGCGAGGTCACTGATGGCATCGTCAGCACTTTCAATATGCACCAGCAGTCTTGCAAGGTGGGGGCCTCCTGAGACCTTCTGCCAGCCTGTGTGGCCTCAGCCTCCCCCAAGCCTTTCCCTGGCCCTCAAAATTTTCCCTTTGCGTGGCTCTGCCCTAATCTTTCCTCTTTCTTCAGTCTTCTTTCCCACCCTTTCCTTCCCTCTGATATCCGCTTTCTTGTCTTCTCCTCTTCTCCCCTCTCCTCCTGGCCTTTCCTTTCTTTCTTTCCAGGCAGGGTCTTGCTATGAAGGCCAGGCTGGCAATGAACTAGCAGTCTGCCCACCATCCTCTCCTCTGCCCCAGTCGTGTGTGTGTGTGTGTGTGTGTGTGTGTGTGTGTGTGTGTGTGGTGTTGAGCATTAAGCATTAGGCCTCATGCATGCAGGCAAGCACTCCATAACTGAACTACGTCCTGAGCTCTCTTTTTCCTTTTACACGGGGTGTTTCCCAGGCTGGTAAATGTGCAATCCTTCTGCCTCACTCTCCCAAGTAACAAGGATTGCAGGCTGTACCACCAGCCTCAGTTTGCTCTTAGCTTCTTTACCCATAACTTCCTCTTTTGTACTTTCTCTCACCTCTACCTCAGTTCTTCTTTCCCTCCAGTTAACCAACAGTGAAACATGGTCTCTTTTCTCTGTACTTTGCCAATGCTGTCTACCATATCATTCTCTTGTATCTTCTTCTCCCTACCTTGTTTTTCATTATTACCCATCAGACAATGGGATACAAGGCACAAGTGTTCAGGATTAAGTATTACATGCTATCTCCCCAATGACCTACCTTGAGTATACCCTAAAACTCTGGAATGGTACAAGCCTTAGCTATCCCAAGCTGAGGAGGTGGTAGCATTAGCTCAGTAAAACATCATTTCAGGATAGATACTCCTTACTTGTTGAGGGGGAGATTTAAGATTGCTGCTCAAAGGAGTTTGCTTGAAAGGGGCTTGCGGTGCAGGGGTAGGCGGTGGTGGTGCACGCCTTTAATCCCAGCACTTGGGAGGCAGAGGCAGGTGAATCTCTGTGGGTTCAAGGCCAGCCTGATCTACAAGAACTAGCTAGTTTCAGGACAGGCTCCAAAGCTACAGAGAAACACTGTGTCAAAAAATAAAAAAGAGAGAGAGGGAGGGGGGAGAAAGGAAGGGAGGGAGGGAGAGAAGGAGGGAGGGAGGCTGGGGATTTAACTTAGTGATAGAGTGTTTGCATAGCATGTGCAAGGCCCTGGGTGTTCAATCCCCAGCATTTCAATAAATAGAAAAATAGACAGATAGATAGATAGATAGATAGATAGATAGATAGATAGATAGATAGATAGATAGATAGATAGATAGATAGATAGATGTTTGAGGCCTCTAGGACTACTGTCAGTCAGTCTGTGGTAATCTGGTTCAGTAATCCAATGTTTAAGTACATCCATCAGGGACCAAGGGCCCCAGGGAAATATGAAATTAACTAAGCTTCTCCAAAAGTCTTGCCAAAGTTTTTCAGGTGTGTCCGCTGTCCTGAGTGATGACCCACTGTCTTCATTTATTCCAGGATCTGCAGCTGTACCTCTCCAACCTGGCCAACCAGATAGACCGGGAAACAGGAATTGGGGATGTGCCCTTGGTGATCCTATTGGATGACCTGAGCGAAGCAGGCTCCATCAGTGAGCTGGTTAATGGGGCCCTTACCTGCAAGTACCACAAATGGTAAGCTCAGGACTATTTCCCACACTGGGAAGAAGGGGAAGAACGCAACCCGGTCTGCCCTGTGAGTTTCCCATTGTGTGTACATGGAGACAGATCTAAGTAAATCCTTCTCTCTTTCTTCCCAGTCCCTATATTATAGGTACCACCAATCAGCCTGTAAAAATGACACCCAACCATGGCTTGCACTTAAGCTTCAGGTAAGAACCTTCAAGAACCTTCTGGCTGTACCCAGGTGCCTGTAAAGAATAATTCAGTCCTGAACTTGTGGGCAGAGGAGCAGTGAGGGGCAACAGGCAGAGCCCTTCAGGCTAGGAAAGGGAAGTAGATGTTTTTGCACGTCAGTTACAGGGTGAAAGAGGACGACTTTGAGGGAAGGGAAGGAACAAAAGCCTAGGAGAAACCCTGGCTGGCTTCTGGATTAAGGACTTTCTTCCTGGTCACTCTGTGAGGCCAGCCGGTCACTTGAGGAGGTCAAAGTTGAAAATCAATTGTGCCTGTCCAGAGCTGCTACCTTACTGCCATCCTCACCTCCTGTCATTTGAGAAGTCAATGGGCATTAATGGGAGACAGGCAGGAAGAGGGCCAGACTGGCAAGGGATGAACCCTGGCAGTGTCCCCACTGACACTCTGACCCTGTTCTTCCTATCCCTGGTGACAGGATGCTGACTTTCTCTAACAACGTGGAGCCAGCCAATGGCTTTCTGGTCCGTTACCTGCGGAGGAAGTTGGTAGAGTCAGACAGTGACATCAATGCTAACAAGGAAGAGCTGCTTCGGGTGCTGGACTGGGTGCCCAAGCTGTGGTATCACCTCCACACCTTCCTTGAGAAGCACAGCACCTCGGACTTCCTCATTGGTACTGGGGTCCAGCTTCCCCTGGGACTGGAAGCACTTTCCCTTCTTGTATCTTACCTTCTGGAGGGAGGCTCTCTTTGCTTGCTAATGTTGAACCACTTAAGTATATAATCAGCTTTTCCAATGCAGTAGAACTGTGAATTGGATAAATTACTTCAGACAACGGGAGAATTGCTTGAACCAACTACAAGTTCAAGGCCAGCTTGAGCAACAAATTGAAACCTCCCCTAATCTTAAAAATAGATAGATAGGTTAATTAAATTAAATAAATGTGCCGAGGGCATAGCTCAATGGTAGAACACTTACTTAACATGTGCAAGGCCCTAGGTTAAAAACTAAAGCTATCCTTCTCCTCCTCTCTCCTCAGAGTTAGTTAGTAAAGGAAAAGAAGGCGTGCAGGAGGGAACTGAGCTGCTTGCCTTCCTCCTTGTCTTACTTCTGCCTTGTAAACATTATTGGTCAGGCAGACAGCTGTCACCCACTACTCTTGACCGCCTTCCGATTCCCTCTAAGCTTTGGCTGTTACCCCTCTGTGCCCTGCACTAAGGAGTAAAGGAAGCAGGACAGGGAAGATCAAGGTTCTCAGGCTTCTTCATGGCCACATTGTTTTCCCTAGGCCCTTGCTTCTTTCTGTCCTGCCCCATTGGCATTGAGGACTTCCGGACCTGGTTCATTGACCTGTGGAACAATTCCATCATTCCCTATCTACAGGAAGGAGCCAAGGATGGGATCAAGGTGAGGCTCGCTCTCTGACTTTACTCGGGCTTCTCATTGCTGTCTAACTGTAACTTGTTACCCATCGATGAACCTTTCGCCAGCTTTCCTTTCCTGGTTTCCCCAGCCACTGACAACCACCATGCTCCTTAAATGTCTGTGAGATCGATTTTTAGACACCATATAGGGCTGTGAGCAGATGATACTTACCTTTCTCTGTGTGGCTTACTCCCATGCTGTTGCAAATGGCAAGATTCCAGTTCTTTTGTGGCTGAATCATCTTCCACTGCGTTTGCAGAGCAGCTTTTCTTTATCCCATCATCACGTGGGTAATTTCTATCACTCGGCTACATCACTGCTGCACTAACATGGGAGTAAAGATGCCATTCAAAATAGTGGCCTCATTTCTTCTGAATGTATTCCTAGTAGAAAGATTGGTGGGTCATATAGTAGTTCTACTTTAATTTTGAGGAATCTTTCATACTGTTTTTCATTATGGGCCTATTAGTTTATGTTCCCACAAACAGTCTACAAGGGTTCTTCTACTGTCTCCACATTTGTTATCTATAGTCTTTTAGGGAATTACCATTCTTACTAGGGTAAACTCAACCAATTTTGGTTTTGATTAGCATTTCCACAATAATAAATAGATAGATAGATAGATAGATAGATAGATAGATAGATAATAGGCAGGCAGGCAGATAGTTAATCTAGGCCGTGATATGTCACATGTCATAACTCTAGCACTTGGATAAGTGGATAAGGTGGGAGCGTCACAAATTTGAGGCCAATATGTACTATATCATGAAACTTTTTAATTAATTAAAACAAATTTTAAGGTTTAACTGGGCATGTGGCCCATGACTGTAATCTCAGGAAGCTGTGGAAGGGTTGAGTTTAAGGCCAGCCTGAACTACGTAGCAAGCACCAGGACAGCCAGATCCAAATAATAAGACTGTTTTAAAATAAAATTAGCTAGGCAGTGTGGTAGCACATGCCTTTAATCCCAGCACTTGCAGTTGGGAGGCAGAGATGGGTAATCTCTGTGAGTTCAAGGCCAGCCTGGTCTACACAAGGAGTTCCAACTATCAAGATCTATATAGTGAAGCCCTGTCTCTAAACAAACTTTTTTTTTTTTTGTCAAGACAGGGTTTCTCTGTGTAGCCCTGGCTGTCCTGGAACTTACTTTGTAGACCAGGCTGGCCTCGAATTCCCTGAGATCCACGTGCCTCTGCCACCTGAGTTCTGGAATTAAAGGCACATGTGCCACCATGCCCAGCCTCTAAACAAACTTTTAAGACAATATGCTAAATTATCCTCAATTATTCTAGCAGTTTATATCAACTTATTTTCTTTCATGAGAAGTTCAGCTACATAGATCGAAACTTTATGTCTTTGTGCTTGAGGGAGTATGTATTTCCGGGGACCGTACTTCTTGTGAAACATAGACAAGACAACGTGAGTAAACCTCTGATCTGTTCTTGTCCTTTTATTGAGCACACTTTTCTTCTCCAGGTTCACGGACAGAAAGCTGCTTGGGAAGACCCAGTGGAGTGGGTCCGGGACACTCTGCCCTGGCCGTCCGCCCAACAAGACCAATCAAAGCTATACCACTTGCCCCCACCCTCCGTGGGCCCTCACACCATTGCCTCACCTCCAGAGGATAGGACAGTCAAAGACAGCACCCCAAGCTCCCTGGACTCAGACCCTCTGGTGAGTAAAAGTCATTTTTTTAAAAAAAGCCACAGAGTAGTCTAGAACTGAATTCTTACACTCTTCGTGTATGTTCTGATGGGCCTTAGGCATAGAAGAGTTTCAGCAAAGCCAGGACCAAAATGAGGCCAGTGAGGAACTCTGAGCACCAGGATCTTGGCCTGCATCCTGGCTGAAGCTAAATACACAGCCCGGAAAATGTATTCTAGACGTTTTCTAGAAAACGTATTCTAGACCCAAGTTTCAGGCAGTCTGTGTAAGAATATACACCAAAGAGGGGCTGGAGAGGTGGCTCAGCAGTTACAAGCACTTGCTGCTCTTCCAGAGCATCTGAATTCAGTTTTCAGCACCCACATCTAAGCTTAGGACTCCAGTTCCAAGGGGATATGACACAGCTGACTTGTACGGGCACTGCACTCATGTGGACACACCTATATGCAGATACACACACACATAATTAAAAATAATAAAAATTAACCCAGCACTTGGGAGGCAGAGGCAAGTGATCTCTATGAGTTCAAGGCCAGCCTGCTCTACAGAATGAGTTCCAGGACAGCCCGGTTACACACAGAGAAACCCTGTCTTGAGAAATCTAAATAAATAAAAATTTAAAATGTAAAAACTATCATCAACTAAAGAAATAGTGCAATAGGTTATACTCCCAGTATAGGCTGGTTGTTCTTCCTACTTCTGCCTCTCCTCTAATATTATTCTGAGACTTCTTCACTAAGTGTATTCTGTAAGATGTAAACTAGGAGAAAATATTTACATAGATATAGCCAAAAATTAGTATCTTATATAAATCAAGTTAAAAGAAGCTTCCAGGACTGGCAAAATGGCTCAACAGGTAAAAGAATTTGTCCCCGAAGCTGACAGCCAGTTTCAGGCGAGAATAACTCCCAGAAGTTGTGCACTGACCTCCACACGCATGCCATGCCACAGCACAGCTGCATTCGCCTGTGGATCGCTCTCTCTCTTTTTTTTTTACATTTATTTATTTATTATGTATACAATATTCTGTCTCTGTGTATGCCTGCAGGCCAGAGGAGGGCACCAGACCCCATTACAGATGGTTGTGAGCCACCATGTGGTTGCTGGGAATTGAACCCAGGACCTTTGGAAGAGCAGGCAATGCTCTTAACCTCTGAGCCATCTCTCCAGCCCCTCGCTCTCTTTTTTTTTCCTCTCTCTCTCTCTCACACACACACTAGTAAATAAGAAATAAGCAAAAATAAGTTATATGAAAAATGTAAGCTTCTAAACAAAAGGATGAGCAAGAGATATGAAGAGGCATTTGACTAGAGGAAATACAAGTGACCAATAAAAACATAAGATCTTAACCTATCTAATAATGAGGAAATGCAAATTAAATCAAGGAGCTGCTCTTTTACTTTGGCAATAGAGGATCTAAAGCTCACACATTCATACTGTGCTATGAGGGTATTCATTACCCAAACCATGTTAGACGATGATCTAGCAGAATGGAATGAATTTAACACAGAGATCATTTGATCTTGTCTTTGTACCTTTCCAGTAGAAAATAATTCCACTTGAGTCATAATATATTTTTATTTAAATTTTGACTTTATTGAAAACAGCCGTTCTCTATATCAAGATGCTTTGTTTGTTTGCTTGTTTGGTTTTTGATATGGAGTTTCTCTGTGTAGCCCTGGCTGTCCTGGAACTTGTTCTGTAGACCAAACTGGCCTCTCGAATGCTGGGATTAAAGGTGTGAGCCACCACAGCCCGACATCCAGACACTTTTTAATTGGAAAACTAATTAATAATATAGATAGAAGAAAAGATTGGTAGCAGTGTGAACCAGGCTCACTTAGCTGAAGCTTGAGCTGTAAAACAGAAAAGGAGTGCGCTGGGGTGGTAGATTTGACACAGGGTCTGAGAGCGGCGCAGAGTCGAGCTGGTGGGTGTCTACTGCTAGGGATCTAAGAGTCCAGAGCTGACACAGCTCTCCTGTTACTCCAGTATAAGCTGGTATGTATGGACCTCTGTCATTCCCAGAGTGCATCTTGACACAGGGGAAGCATTGCTCTTTGGTGTCCTCCACAGCCATGACCCATGACCCCTTGTATAGGAAAGGTGTCCCAGGTGATTGTTTATGTGTATGGGTTTGCATCATAAACCCATACACTAAAACGATTGCCACTTCTTCATGAATCACCTCTAAACTCTGTTCTTTGTCAACACCACGGATCAGACTCATGATACAGGGTTTGTAGGGTTAGTTGGTTGGTCAGTTGGTTTGGTTTTGGTTTCCTGGTAGGTAGGACCCAGCTTCCCTTCTCATGGTCACCCATCGCTTTGCCTCTTTTTAGATGGCCATGCTGCTGAAACTTCAAGAAGCTGCCAACTATATTGAGTCACCAGATCGAGAGACTATCCTGGACCCCAACCTGCAGGCAACACTCTGAGGGTCCAGCAGTCACTGTCACCATGGACAGCAGAAGGCTGGCTTCAGCTTCATTAGCTCTCCTCTCCCCTCTTCTTTCAGAGCTCTGGCTTACCAGCCTTCCCAGGACAGGAGGGAAGATGAGGGCAAGAGGAGGGATGGGTTCTTGGTGCTGAACCTTTGGGAACTTCCTAGTAGGGACTGGAGGGGTGGAGTTTGGGCACTTGTGCCCCTAAATGCATTTACTGGCCTCCTCTCGTGACTTTGGAGAAGAGATGATTCTGGGTCTTTTCTTCAGTTTTTGTTTCCCCTACAAACTCCTGGGCTTTCTGGGGAGGGATTCGAAGACATCGCAAAAGCCGTGCAGCAGTTCCTACCGGTTCTCATGAACACCTCTGAGACAGTCACAGACGGGGAAGTCTAAGGGAGGCAGGAAACTCCACAGATTTTCTTGCAAACCCTTCCCAATTCTATCATCACTGCCAACAACCTTTCCCCAGAGATCTGGCCAGAGCCCAGAAAAAGAAGCATGTGGTTTAACGAAGAAAAAAAAAAAAAAAGAAAGAAAAAAAGAAAAAAAATGTGTAAATCAACCTGTAAGAGGTAAAAAGGCGATGGAAGAGATGAAGCTGGAAAGAGGGGACCCAGTTGCCAAGATGGAAAGAGAGCTGCCAGATCTCGCCTTCTGGATGACAAGAGGGGACACTGACAAGATGGCTTCCAATCTAAGACGTCACCAAACCACGGAAGTAACATCACAGCCTTCAGAGAGACTATGAGCTGCCTTTCTGCCCTCTAATTGAACATGCATGAAAGTCAATAAACCCAACTTTTTTAATTTTTAAATTTTATTTCTATTTTTTTCTTCCCATCTGCCTATTTATTTGCCCTCTTTCCTTAATTTTCTCACATGTCAATGAGATACTTAGGTTTCCTTCCAGGGAATAGTTTTGCTTTCCAAGTAGGTTTTCTTTGGAGACTTGAATTCCGTACTGTTGGTGTAAGTTTTATACGCCTGCCATGCGACTATCTCTGGCATCCTTGGGGCTTATATGCGACAAGAAACATTGGCTCAGAATGGTAGGAGAAAACCCAGTTTCTTTGACTTTCCTTTTGAGAAAGCACATGTTCTACCTAGAAGCTCCGCTGCCATCCTCTGGCGTGATCTACCCTGAGCTTCATCGTGGACTGGAGGAAAACCACAATACTGGAACCACCCGCCTGTCTTAGGGCCTGTTCGGCCACCCGCTGCACTATTTGGATGGTAGCCACTTTGCCTGACTGAATGGCAATTCCCTCGCTAGCCCTTACTATTTGTTTTTACAGTTGAATAGTCACTTATAAGAAACTGAACAACCATGTGAACTGCTTCAGGTCAGAATAGAAGGCTCAAGGAGTTGTGCTCGGTGTCCAGTATTGATTGGCCTTCCAAAGAGATCCACCACTTGCGCAAGTTGCCCTCTTCGTATTTCTGCAGCCCACGTTCCTTCTTTTGACAAGCACTTACGAGTACTTAGCTGTAAACCAGTCACTATGTTTAAAAAATGACAAGATTTGGTCTTTAAGTTCATAGTCTAGAGGGGAATGTTAATCTCCATTAAGTACACCCTCCCCCAATAGGGACCTTGAAAATCATCTGAGAAACACAGGTGAATCCCAAGGAGTTAAAAGAAGCCTTTGATCAGATGTCCAATATGTGGTAGGCAGAAAATCGGGAATCCATTTTGATGGAGCCTGAAGAAGTATGGAATCTTGCTTGTCTAGGGTGGGAAACTACTTCGGTCATTTCTGGAAACCAGATGGAACCAGATTCCAGGCTGAGCTGCCTTAGGGGCTAATGTCAGCACTCTGCAGTTCAGGAATAGATACGACGAGCCTGGATTTAAGAGTTTGTTCTTCAGAGTCCTAAGTAGCACAAGACTTATCAGGATCTATACCAAGATTCTATAGGCAAACTAACCTGGGCCATTGTTCCACCCAACCGAGGAATCACATGACTCTTAACAGTATATTTTCATTTATGTCTTCAAGATGGTCTGGCTTGTTCCTTTCCCCCCTCGTCCCCCGCAAAAGCTTCTATATTCACCTGGTAGCCCCAGGGATGACAGGGTCCTCTATTCTGGAGACTATTATTGCTATTGCTGCTAATTCCATGAGCTGTGAAGATCCCCAACGAACTCAGCTGCAAAATAAGCAATTCTGTAGTGGAAAAAGGCGGTTTGTCCAAGGATGGTGCTGAAATCATTGCCTTAAGGTCTCTGCTGTGCAGAATGAGAAGGCCCCAGAGCTGGGTGTTCCAACTCGGAAGGAAGGGGAGACTAGATAGGCCTCCTTTGGACATAGGTCTCTTCTGGACCCTATCCGAAGCTCCAGTGCCACGGAAAGGCTCCGACTTCCGCTGACATCCTGATGCTTGAGCCCTTCACTCTCTTCTCTGGTGCTGCCGAGCCAGTGCCTTCTGAAATGGATGTTACTGGCTACTTAAGAAGAAGGAAAGTAGGAAATGCCTTCTTCCGTTTCAACTGCCTCAGACTGCAGAGGGATTGTCTCTGTGGATACCATCGTGAATTTTCTTTGGGTCTGCAGCAAGTTGACTCTGGAGGCCTCTCATACTATAACTTGGTTTCTATTCCTGGGATCCACCACCACCTTCTCTCGTTTGACTGCTGCATTTAGTTCAGGCCTCAAATAGCTGTCCTCCAGGAAGTGTGTTCCCATCTAGCGAAGTGCTCTTGAAGCCTCTGCTTTCCTTCTGAAGACTGGGACCCTGTTTACAGTTGCACATCTGGGCCCCTCACAGTACCATCAACCATCTCAAAAAGGGACCGTGGTTCTGTGGCAGTTGCGGAAGGTTGAGCCTCCTCATGGTGCTAATGACCCCTTGGGGTGCTCATCCGGACTTCTAAGAAGCAAAAAGCCTGAGCACCCCCTCACTGCCCAGGAATTCACGGCAAAGAGCAAATCCACAGCGTTCTTTCCAGCCTACACGCTTGCTTCTTGGTTGAGACCAGTGGCACTCCTCAGAAAGGAAGAACTGGGTCCCACAGCTAGACTCTCCATCTCGAGGCACCTTCAGAAGAATCCAACCTTTCTAGTTCTGAATTTGTGCTATTCCCTTCCCCCTCTGGCCCCCAATTCCATCCCTCACCAAAGTTGGCTAGTGAAGAACATCAACCTTTGGAGGGTCTCAGCTCTGGGAAAGAGGCTAACTAGAATCCCTCGAATTTTGGGATGAAGACCAATAAGTTGTGTTCAATGTGTTTGTTTCTCAGTCCCTGCCTAGGCACTGAAATAAAGTACTAGGTATTAGAGGCTGCTATGGGACCTGATGTCTGTGTATCTCTATGTTCTATCTTCTGGGGCTTTGTGGAACATTATTATTTTTGATACCTGCTTTCTGGTAACTCTTTGGTGCTTATTTCTGTCTCTGTAAATCTTTACTCCAGTGTCTTCTGTGTAGTCTAATCACCTGGAAGATAGAGGCTGGCAGGGAAGAAGAATGAGATAAGAGACCATGGTCGACCCTACAAGAAAGCCTTTATTGGTTGGTAACCATTTGGATCTTGAATTACCAACCTTCTAACTAGTCTGTCCATACTGATGGGCATAAGACAAAGTAATGATTTTCTTACCCCCCCCCCCCCCCCCCCGCTTTTTTTTGTCTTCTGGCTTTTCTAGTTTGCAAGACTTTAAGTGGACTCGACCTACCCATCTCCTTACTTGTAGCTCTCAAAGTCGAGCCACACTGTTCAGAGGGATACCGCCCCCTTCCCGTACTCCGAAGATGAGCTCTGTTTCCTGCCATAGTCCAGGAAAGTAGGGGAAGCAGTGGTAGTTTCCACAACACCTGCCATCACCCCAGATGGAACCATTCGTGGCCCCCAGCGTGTGCACAGGTCACCCTTGCCTCATCAAATGAGGGTCAGTCTTATAAACCAGGAGACAAAAGACTTCAATGATTTTTTTTTTAATGACAAAAGGGTTTGGGAGAGGACATTGTGCTAATCACAAGTCTAATACAGGGTTCAGTCAATCTGAAGTAACTCAGACTCAGTTGCAGCTCCTTATCACACTTTACCCTTTCTTTCCATAGTCTCGGCATTAGCTAAACTGAAGCTAGTGAGTGGACTCCATGAGCCAAGCCCATGGGAAGAGGAAAAATGGCTGTTGCAACAGGTTGGGTAATAGAGATGGATAAGATGGATGTACCAACAGTTATTGGTAACCCGTTTTTTTCCTTCCAGTATTGAGTATTGAACCTAGGGTCTCTCATAAACTCAGCAAGTACTCTGTCACTGAGCTATAGCTCCAGCCCTCACTTTTTTTAAAAGACAGTTTCACTAAAGTTGTCCATAACAGCCCCGAATTCACTAAGTATTCCAGGCAAGCTTTGAATTTGATGATACCACACACACACACACACACACATACATGTACACATTAGCCTCTCAAGTAACTGGCCTGTGTCACTAGGCCCAGCTATAACACACTCTGTAAGAACTATGCGTGAGAGTCCCCAACATGCAGGCCATAAGTAGTAAACATGTGTTCCACATGGCCAAAGCCTGAAGACACTGCTTTCCATGCCTAGATCAGCCTTACCAATCAGCAGTCCTCGGTTAACCTGCTCAGGGAGAACAGGGCCACCTGGCTACACCCTCGTCCCAGAAACACATGCTCTTGCAGGAGAAACAGAGTAAACCGGAAAGCGGTCTGGAAGGAAAGAAAGCAGTTGAACTTTGGAAACCACGGGGAGGGAAAGGCAGTTAAAAATTATACCTGCTTATACTAATTCATTCGAGTTTGATGTTTTGGCCATTCTCCTTAGTGATTATGTCACAGGGAACATTCTCTGACATGATGTGAATTTCTGGTCCCTTGAGTCAACCTTTCGTCCCTTAAAGCCGTGGTGCTCAGAGGATGTCTTCAGACTAGCAGGAGCAGCATGTGGGAATGTGTTTAAGGACTAGAATTCCCAGGCTCTAACCCAGGTCTGCCAAGTCAGCTCTAGAGTGGCAGTACCCAGCCATGTTGTAAGGGTGGAGCCAACTCACGGGAGCCCTCACTGTGAGATGGCTGATGTTTGAAGACCCCAATAAGAAGCGTCTACAGTCTAATTCAAATGCTCACATTTCAAAGTCACTTTGCTCTTACTTAGGTTTCTGGGAGCTAGTAGTAAAAATATGTGCTTTGGGGTAGAAGTTAGGGAAGGTCTGCATCTTTGCAGCCTCTAGCGGAAAACCCCTGGCCTCTGACATCACTGCCTGGCACACTGTGGGGCTCCAGTGGAAGAATCATGTCGGAAGTCTCCACGTTGCTGTTCTGATAGATTCTTTTTCTGATAATAGTATAAGAAAAGTAAAATAAAATCTAATTTACATTCCTATGATAAAATGTTCTCCCTTCTTTAAACAGTGAAGAGTACTGCGGAGTCTGGGAGCTCCACCAGCCCTTCCTTCCCCAAGGCAGCCAACAGCTGAGTGCCAGTATGCCAGAAGGGCCCAGGTCTCTGCTCAGCCCACAGGAGAGAGTTCTACACCGTGAAAATAAAGTATCTAAGTCCTTAGGTTCAACCTTTGCCTCTTCCCATATCAGGACCTAAATACAGAACTACTCAGCTAAGGGAACAAAATAAATCCTCTCTAAAAAATAAAAAAAAAAAATTTTTTTTTTCAGGAAGAGCTTTGTATATTTCCAAACCTATAAACTAGCTGAAATGGCCATGGAAGAGTTGAGGCTGTTTAGAAGCAGTTTTGTTTCAAGTGTGTCAGCTTTCATCCCCTGTGAGAGCACTTTTGTGGTACTAGGTCTCCTGAGCTCACGGACTAAAGAAGGAGAAAGCCCAAGGAGAGCAAGTGTAAAACAGTTGCACTAAAGTCACCCCCTTGCCATCCAGCCAGCCCCGGTCCCCTCGTCCTGCTTCCCTGCCGTTTCTGAGAAGGAAAATAGGAGAAGCAACTCCCACACTGCAGCCAGTTTCTGCTGCTGCTGTGCTCTCCGCCCCCCCCCCACTTCCTAACATTCTTTTGTTTATTGCTTTTAACCAAACAAAATTACAGTGAATTCTAGGTCTTGCTAGCTTCCTTTCCTCCCCCTCCCTATCCTGTTTGACACAGCACTGCTCCTGTAAGAGGCTGTGTTCCTCAAATGCATGGCATTCCTCAGGTGGCGGGTGGGCAAGAATGGTCACTTTTTAAAACTTACTGAGTACAAAAATCCCAAACCGTGATATGTGTGTGTCTGTGTGTTTGTCTTATTTCCGTTCCATTTGACCCTCGCCTATTCCAGTCTGTCCCCTTTTATACCTAATGTAGAAAAGGCAAACACTGAATCTGGAAAGCAAATTGTTGTATATAGTTGCGGTAACAATCATGAAGAGAGCTGGGCTGTCCCCTCAGTGATTCATTTTAAACAAGAAAATTGGTTGAAAATTAAATCCATGCCTTGGCCAGCTGAAATGGCCTTCCTCCATCGCCACAGGGGCCACCCTTCCCTGGGTCCTCTGTCTGTCAGGCATGTCTCCATCTAGCAAAATTCCTCTGTTCTCTGCCATTTGCGTTTCAATAAAGTTATCTCCTGTATTGTCCACTGGTTTTCTAGCTCACTCACTGCCTGGTTTCTGTGTCCGTTTACCTGACTGCTTGATCTGGAAGGTCACACAACTTGTGGTCATCACCCTAACTCAGAAGCAAAACCCACCTGCCTGTAAGCATCTGAGCCCAAATGCTGAGCAGGGGTCTTTTGACTTCTTCTTCGTGGGCGTGGGAGAACCCCACCTTGTACACTGCGGACAGTTTCTGCCCTAGTGTGCTTTCAGTTGCACATAAACACCATGAGCAGAAGCAACTTGGGGGGTGGGTATTTATCTTACAGGTTATAGTCAGTCCATGTCAAAGGAAGTCCACGTCAAAGGAAGTCAAGGCAGGACCTCCCTAGGAATGCTGCTTACTGGACTACTCCCTTGATCTTAAATAGCTGAGGCCCACGTGCCTGGAGACTGCACTAACCACAGTGGGCTAGGTCCAACTAGGTCAATAAGCATTAAAGAAATGGTTTACAAACATGGTCACAGGCTAGTCTGATTCAGTGAATTCTTCAGTTGAGTTCTGGTGACTCCTAGGTTTGTGTCAAACTAACAGCTGAAGCTAATTATGGCAGTTTCCCTCGCCAGAAGTCAAGGCTTCCAATTGGCAGGACGGGAAGTCTCTTGACTTTGAGAATGTACCACCCTCTAGACCAGAGGTTCTCAACCTGTGGGTTGTGACCCCTACGGAGCCAAATGCCCCTTTCCTAGGGGTTGCATATCAGATAGTTCATAACATTAACAAAATTACAGTTATGAAATAGTTTTATGGTTGGCGTCACTACAACATGCAGAACTATTAAAAGGATCAGAGCATTAGGAAGGTTGAGAACCACTCTTTTAGACACTACCTAATTTGGGGGTTGAACAAACATGAACATACCTCAAAGGACAGCTGTTCTAATGGAGTTTGGGTTCTCCTGGCCACTGTAAGACAGAAAATAAACCTTACCATCCTCGACTATGGAATTGCAGAGTCAAAACGCACTCGTTTTCCCAGAAATACCTGCTCTGTGCTCCAACAGCATACTCATTCCATCCCTTTGGCCACTAGGCGCTTGCCACTCTGTCCTGCGTCTTTCATCCCTTGCTCTAATCCCCTCCACTGGCTCTATGGAGTAGTGCCTCCATGTTGTGGCCATTTCCTGCAACTTGTCCTTGTTAGCCATATTAAACTACTCTCGTTCTCCCACCCTACCATAATCCCCCTGGGTCTCCAGAAGCACGCTGGGCTAGGTAGATGGCTCTGTGGGTAAAGTGCCTGCCTCGACACCTAATAACCTGAGTTCACTCTTACATAAAGGTGGCCAAAGACAGACTACACTGTCCTCTGCCTCTACAGGTGTCCCATGGCATACGCCCATGTATTCGAGCACGACACGCGCACACACACAAACCTGACACTATTTCTTTTTAAAATAATGTTATGTACTTGCGATATTCACTCTCAGTAGTCACACAAAGAATAAGTCTGGTGCCATGGGTGATGACATATACCTGTAATAGCACTGGAGGAGGTAGAAGCAGAAAGACCGAGATCAGGGAGTTCAAGGCCAGTACCAACTACATAGAAAGTTTGCGGCCCATCTGTGCCATGTGTGACCCTGTCTCCAAACAAATTAACAACAAATAGATAATATTTTTAAAAATCAGTTTATAGCTGCGCAGTGGTGGCACACACCTTTTAATCCCAGCACTCGGGAGACAGAGACAGGAGATCTCAGGAGTTCGAGGCCAGCCTGGTCTGCAGAGTGAGTTCCAGGACAGCAAGGACTACACAAAGAAACCCTGTCTGGGGGGTGGGAGCTACACAAGAAACCCTGTCTCGAAAAATCAGTGGGGAGAAATGCTCCTTACATGTAGGTACTCTCCCCTGGACAGCCACTTTCTCATTTGAGATTGGGCTCATGTAAACTAAAACTAAAAAACTAAGAAACTAAAATTGGGGACTGCCAATTTCACTTCGGTTTCTCCGCACGCCTCCCAGGTATCTTTGGATCTCTAGAAGTAAAAAGTGAACGGACCCAACTGAATCCATGTTTCAGGGAGGAGGGGTGTTAGTTTAAAATAGGTGCTATTTCTGCTATTTCCTTAAAGCCTTCTGTATCCATTTCCATCCTACCCCTGTGCTAACACGTCTTAAATCTGAGCCTAGAATCAGGTATCACGGCCTTTATTCCAAGCGATCCTGATTTTCAGGACTCCAAACCGTTATGGCATTCTGTGTGCACACACATCCCCAAAAGCGTTCCTTGCCGGCAGAAGCGCGGTTCGTTCCGGCCGCAGAAGGCGCTGTCTCCGGAGGCAGCAACCTCTCCCCGCCCCCGCCCCCGCCCGCTCCCGCGTGCTTAGATGCGCAGGCGCGGCTTCGCGGATTGGCCGTACGCGGGAGCCGTCATTCGGTGGCGGGTCCCGGCCGCGGGGCTGGCGGGCTGAGGGGAGAAAAGATGGCGGCAGCGGCGGCAGCTGGTTCGGCTTCTGGGCTGCCGGGTCCAGTGGCACAGGGATTGAAGGAGGCGTTGGTGGATACCCTCACCGGGATCCTGTCCCCCGTGCAGGAGGTGCGGGCGGCTGCAGAGGAACAGATTAAGGTGCTGGAGGTGACAGAGGGTGAGTGAGGAGGGACCGTCACGAGGATGGCTCGGACCTGGGCCGGCCGCACACTCGGCTGACCGCAGGGACCTGGGGAGCCTGAGCCAGGGGAGAGGTGGGCACGAGGAGAGGGGTGCTGGGGGGTGCCGCTGATGGCTGAGAAAGTCCTAGAAGAAGGGTGGCGCGTCTGAAAGGAGAGGGTCGGGGGAGGTGGAGCCTTGGCGGGGATGGGGTGGGTGAAGACTTGAAAAGATAGATAGTGCCTAGCTTCTGCAGAGGGCAGAAATGGAGTTCGACGTGGAGCTGGCGCTGTCGCGCTGTCTGGATGATATTTGAGCTCAAGGCAAGGTCCTTTGCCGTTTTCTTCAGCAGCTCGGTCGTAGTGGGATCAGGGAAGAGCGCTAGGGAAGGTAAGGCCCAGGAGAAGGCGGCTACCATCAAACAAGTTTCAGCATCAGAGTTTGAAATCCGGCCGGTTGTCCAGACACCTCACGTTTTCCTAGAAATTTAACTCAATTAGACGTACACTACTTCACTTCCCCGATCATGCTTTCTGTTTGTTTGTTTTTAAGATTCATTGGCAGTTATTAAATGCTGTGCATTTCCATGTCCATGGACCGATCTTCCTTTGTTTTAAGCTCTTTGTTCTCATCCTCCCATTATGTTCTTTAAAGTGATAGAGAAGAAACTATTAGTTTGACGTTTTCTTTCAATTTCCTGCTTAGTGGGCTTTCATCAGATCATTTTACAAAGAACAGAAAAAAGGTAAACTCTCCTTGGTCTTTTTGTTTGTCTGTTTTTCGAGACAGGGTTTATCTGTGTGACAGCCCTAGGTGTCCTGGAACTAGTTCTTATAGACCAGTTTGGTCTGGAGCTCACAGAGATCCTCCTGCCTCTGCTTCCTGAGTGATGGGATTAAAGGCATGCGCCACCACCGCCCAGCGACTCTCCTTGGTCTTTATATAAGAAATATATCCTATCAGAATTTCAGTGGGACTCCAGTTCCTTGGAATTCTCAAGTTCAAGAGAATATTTTAACTGCTCCTTAAACTTAGGCCTCTTCAGAAATATGGGAGATTATTCCTATATTTGACCAACCACCCTTAAAGTCTTGAGTTGATGCTCTTACAGGACTTATTTTTATTGAAAAGAAATGGATGGAGGTGGGGAGTCGCCCTTAAATTTAGTTTTATATTCTCTTATAGTACGGTCCTGGGACAATTGGGAGATCCAATAGGTTAAGGACTATTTGGAAAAAGCCAGTTGTAGTTTTATAACATAACAGATTCTCCCATATGTGGGTGGGAGAGCGCTGTGGGGAAACAACGTATAACTTGACCTGAAGGAGTCTCTGACTTTCTAGGTAAGATGGTTTGTTCCGTGGGACAGGTCTGTAAGACTAAATGACTTGCTGTTTTTGCCAGAAAGGGGTGTGCCTTTCTTGGCTGCCTACTGATGGGCTCTACTCTTGCACATCAAGTGCAGGGGTCTCTAACTTTTGGAGGGTGGGAGAGAAAGGCACAGCTCAGTTATTACCTCTCGACTTTACATCTCGTGTCCCTGCCTCCCTTGATATAAAGAAGGAAAGCTGATAGACAGAAACCTTACCATATTTAACTTGCTACTTGCATTCAGTTGCTTGTCTGATGCAAACTGATCTTTAATTAAACTTTCCATGAATGATACCCAGTGTTGGGCTACCCCAAATGTATGTCTTGACACCTTGCTATGAAAGGTGGGCTTATGCTTAAACTACAATAGCACTTTCCTTGCCCTGATTTCTTCATGTCTAGCCAGGTGCAATGGTCTTCCGGCAAAATCAGTTACAAACTTGAGATTGTTGTGAAGTTCTTGTCTTCTACTTTTGTCCTTTTGTGGACTCTTGAAATCAAAAGTACAGGATTTCGACCTAGTGCACTGATGAAGAAATAAATGAACTCTGCCTCAACTCTCCCTCCTGGCCCCATAACGTACTGGTGATGTGCTGTGTGATGTGGCACGAGGACGAGAGGCAGGGCAGAGCTTTGATGCGGTAACAGGAATGGCGACCTGGTAGTAAGTAAGGCATATGGACTCAAGTATAGAATGTGGTTACAGGTTAGATCAAGCCTGGAGTTGAATATACTATGTTGGACTCTTCAGTGGCTTTAAAATAGTCTTGTCCCCTTCTGTACCTATTTTTAGTTAGAGAATGCGGTTCATTCCTTAAGTATTTTTTCTATGAGTGGCCTTTAACATCATCTTCCCGTTGGGTCCAGAATATCTGCAGTCTTTCATTCTGGCTGACTCTTAGAAACTTTGTGAAAATAGCTAACAGCTTCTCTAGCAATGGCCCTTCTTTACAGTGAGATGATAGCACCTGGTCCCCCAGGAGGAATTCACAAACTATTTAGCCTTAGGTTGTCAGGACATTGTTCCTGTTAGGAAAAAGGTCCTGCAGATTAAGATGAGGGACCTTTCCCACAAATGAGTGGAGAAACGATTTTGCGCTCTTGGAATTGCTTTTTGACCTAGTTTCTTTTGGTTTTTCAAGACAGAGTTTCTCAGTAGCTATGGAGCCAGTCCTGGAACTCAACTCCGTAGACCAGGCTGGCCTCAGACTCACAGAGATACGCTTGCCTTTGCCTCCTGAGTACTTGGGATTAAAGGCGTGCGCCACCGTCACCACCACCCGGCTTGACCTAGTTTTATTCCAAAAGAAAGAACTTTGATTTCTCGTCGTTTAAAACAGCTTCCTTAAAAACTTGAAGTTAACGAGAAATCTGGGAGTTGGTGTCTATTATTTTGGGGTTTTGGTAATCTTCTTTTCTGTTTCCGTAAACGCAGGGTCAAGTAACTACCATATCTAGTCCCTCTGTCCCTTCCAATAGCCGTACTGTAAGCCATTTGCTATGGCCTCACATGGGACACTAACCCACATGGTCTATAAGATTAAGTGACTTGTTATTTTTGCAAGAAAGGTGTGTGCCTTTATTGATTGCCAGATGAATTCTACTCTTGAACACCAAGTGCAAGGATCTCTAACTTTGGGGGAAAGCACAGATCAATTAATACCTCTTAAAGGAAAGGGCAAGAAAGGGAGACATGTTTTGGCCAAATTGTATCATAAATAGGATTTTTCCCTCCGATGTTGGGGATTGAACTTGGAGCCTTGTGTGTGTTAGACAAGTATTCTGCTATCTAGCTACAGCCTCGGTCCTATAGATGGGATTCAAATAAGCACTTCTTTTAAGAAATGGGTTTTCTGCTAGGCAGTGGTGGCACATACCTTTAATCCCAGCTCTCGGGAGGCAGAGACAGGCAGACCTCTGAGTTCCAGAACAGCCATGACAAATTGTAGTAGTATCAAAGCGTTCCACAATAGCCTGGAATGGAGTATAACAAAGGTTTATTTTATTTATTTGGGGATAAACTCATGGTAAGGGTAGCAATCTGCCGTCCTCTATGTGCTCTGGGAACTAGGAACCAAATTCAGCAGAAAAGGGGGCTGCGCTTGCTTTTCATCTGCACCAAGGTGGGCCGGTAGCTTAAAAGCTATTGACTGAAGGAGTTCCCACAACAGGCTGTTACATAGAGAAACCCAGGGAGGGGAGAGGAAAGAAAGGAAGAAAGAAATGGGATTTCTAGAGCAAAAATTACATCCATATTATTATTTTTGTCTTCCAGCTTGTATTTTCTGAGAAATAACACAATCAATTACCATATTATCCAGAACGAACACATAGAAGCCAAAGAACTGTGTGTATGTCAGAGATCCTCCTGATTTCTCTTTTATTAGCCTAGTGTCCTACAAGGATTTTCTTGAGCTCCTGCACTTGCCCTTTTCCCTAATTACTTTGATCTAGGGAAGCCCTGAAAACTTTACATACTTAAAGCCTCATTACCATACACAGCGGAAGACTTGGTGTAGTTAACCACTTCATCAGGCGTGGTCGCTGTCCTGAGCTGAGTGGGGCAGAACTGGGCAGTCTGGAATTCCCGCGTGGTATGACATTCAGCAGATAATTGTCCCTTCGTTTCTCTTCAGAGGATTGAGCTTTTGAGTTTGACTACAGAGTTTGTAAAATTTTAATTCTACCCACATAGGGTAAAAGTAAAAAGATTTTTTATTTATTAGCATATTCCTGTAATTCTGTGTCATTGGTAGAGAGGGAGTATCAAGCATTCAGTAACGTGGCCGGCCATTAGACAAGAGAAGTAGGTTACCTAAAGTCTCTTACCCCAGAATCTTAATCTTCTCTCAACTTCATTTTTTTAAATTCGATTTATGGTAAAACCACTTTTAGAATGTTACCTCTTTGTTTCTGGCATATTAATACTTTACTTCTTGTATCTCAAAATGGATTTTTTTCCTTTTTCTTTTATTTTTCTACCTTTCTTTGAGAAGAGCATCCGAAGTGTTGGAATGAGTCCTAAGTTCTGTAGCCTGAATAGGAATAGCTGAGATTTTTGTAAAATAACTAGGTTTAGACCTAGTCTTTTTCATCTTGTTATTTATTTTTATCTATTAGAAATGAATATATCCCCTCATCCTCACCCCCAACGTTTGCCCTTGACTTGGTATTTTGTCTTTTTTCTTTGCTTAGGGCCAGTGCATGCTGGCTAGGCAAGCATTCTACCACTGAGCTGTATTCCCAGTCCAGTCTTCTGCCTTGCTCCCAACAGAATACATAATTTCTTCCCCTCTCCCACTATTGCGTTGACCAGAGGGTATGGATACTTCCTTCCGCCAGCTTTCCTGGCATTCCGATGCTGCTCGGTTGTGTATGATGATTTTCCCATCTTAGAGGCCTAGAGAGATGATCCTGCTAGCTGGAGATGCTTTCTGGTTCTCATGGGCACTTTTCTGGCTTTCTTACAGTGTAGCATAAGCACTGTCCACCTGCGAAGGGCGGCCCACAAGGATCCAGACGCACTCCTGGGCATGTGGCGGGCACTGAACCGAGCGGAAGGCGGCCACGCTCGGAAAAAGGCCAGTGGTAGAGTTTTCTTTTCCCTTTAAGCTATGGTTTTGTGGTGCTTACCCACTCCATGACAGATAGGGGACTTCTAGAGTGCTGCTTAAGACTTTCCTACAGATAGTCTCCCTTCACAGTCCCCTAACGTTGGCTATCTAGACACTGGCAATCTTAGGTCTCTCTAGTAGACCCTTAAGAACAGCGAGAATGCAGTTCTTCATTTATCCTTTGTCCTCCCTGCCCTCTTTTACATTTTCCCTACTAAGCCAAAGTTTACATAGGTAATTGTTGCCAAACAGGGTAAGAGAAAGGAGAGCAAAGATCACCAGAAAGGGGGAAGAAACACCCAAAAGAGTAGAAAATGAATTTAATGTGGAACATGAGACTAAATAGTGAGAGAAAGCAAAGGATGTCTTAGAAAGGCCAGGGATGTCAGTTTGGAGTGGAGGCACCCAATAAGGTCAGGTGAAAGAAATCTAGATTAACCGAATAAAGCTGACCCCATTTAACCTTAGAAAGCTGCACTAAGGGAATTGTTTCCTGACAGAGCGACTCTGGGAAGCTCACTTCACATAGCCCTCATAGGAGCATTCTTCTTTGGTTCAGTGTCTTAAATTGAATCTTAATTTAATCTGAATTAGCCTCTTCTAAATCCAGTCTGTGTGTCTCTTCTATTCTGTCTGCTTTCAATATCCCCAAGTAAGCTATTCAGCTCTTCTTTGTGTTTTCCAAAGTTATGTTAAGGCACATATCCGTAAAACAAGGAATCTCCAAAGGGCTATGTCCACACATAAAAAGAAGTGTTATTTGTTTTTTAACAGATATATTTAGTTGTGTTTTCTTTTTAAAGGTATTGTATAGCTTCTCTCAGTAAAAGTCTTCAAATTCATATCAGATGGGGTTGTGTTCTCTCTGACAGAAGTCAGCAATGTAAAGAAGCAACTGTGTTGGTCGTATTTAAGCCCAGGCCTTGAACGTCAGCGGGTGTGTTTGTTCTTTTCGCTACACTCTCAAGAATAATGTTTTGCCTTGGAGATACTTTTTTTTTTTTTTTTTATGTATACAATATTCTGTCTGTGTGCCTGAAGGCCAGAAGAGGGCGCCAGACCTCTTTACAGATGGTTGTGAGCCACCATGTGGTTGCTGGGAATTGAACTCAGGACCCTTGGAAGAGCAGGCAACGCTCCTAACCACTGAGCCATTTCTCCAGCTCCCTGGAGATACTTTTTTAAAAGCAAAAAAGGTTTTCACCGGGCAATGGTAGTGCATACCTTTAATACAAGCGCTTGGGAGGCAGAGGCAGGAGAATCTCTGTGAGTTCGAGACCAGCCTGAACTTCAGAGCAAGTTCCAGGACAGGCTCCAAAGCTACAGAGAAACCCTGCCTTGAAAAGGCAATCAATCAATCAATAAATAAATAAGTTTTTTTCCTTTGCATTACCTTCATAGAAGACTTCATTATTAATACCATACCTCCCATTGCCATTGGTGGATTCTTCATCAACTTTCATGGAAATTAAAGTTTTCAGTATGATACAAGGCTATACGGTTTAGGCAGAACTTTCCTTTCTTATATCCCACTGTAGCAATGCAATGCAAATTAGTTTTTTTGTCTTTAAAATTTCAAGGTTAATAGTTTTGAAACTCTGGGAACTTGTAGAGAAGAGAATATATTCTATCTATTCTATTTTAAATCTTGTCTTAATAAACCAGGTTAATCTTCAGGTTGTCTTTCCCAGTAGACTTTTAAATGGGCATTCATATAAGTTGAACTCTCAACCTTCTTTCTTGGGTGAAATCAGGAAATAAACTTTTTTAGAAAATTCATCTTAAAGTACTTGTAGGTGGAGACTCCTGGTTGACTCATAGATCTCTGTTCTCACCACCCTTAGACACTAGCCACTGAATGGAGTGTGAGGTGTGTTTGATAGGCACAGTTACTTCAGGACTGGGACAGAGAAGCTCCCAGCTTTGTGATTGTCACTAGAGTGCTACCTCCTCCTGGCACAGATGCAAAAAGAAAAAAACAAAAAAAAAAAAACACCTTTCATGGAAGCTTTTCTCTCTGAGTAGCCTTTCGGTGTCCAGTTGATGACCGGGGCCCATGTGCAGTTTCTCTGAGTGCTGTGATGCCCTGCTGTCTGGTGCCCCGTGAACTGCTGAGAGAGATGTGGATTCTTTCCCTTCTCTGAGCTGCATCAGTGCTCTCACTGAAAGATAATCATTCAGATTTATTTAAAGCTTTATAGTTTCAATTCACATTTCAAAACCTTCTCAAAAAAATCTTATTCAGTATCTTTTTCATGATGTATGGTTATTTTGCTTATTTTCATCTCATTTTAGTTTGTCCCTGTAGGAATAATCCAAAAATTAAACTCTTGTTGGTAACTTTTAAAACCCACATAAATGTTATTTAAATAGTGCCTTAAAAGAAAGTTCTGGGGCTGGTGAGATGGCTCAGTGGTTAAGAGCACTGACTGCTGCTCCTCCAGAGGACCGGGGTTCAATTCCCAGCACCCACATGGCAGCTCGCAGCTGTCTATAGCTCCAATTCAAGAGAATCTGACATCATTATACCAATGCGCATGAAATAAAGTTAAATAAAGTTTAAAAAAAAAAGAAAGGAAGTTCTGTGTGTTCCAGGTAGTTTATGAATGTATTTGTAGGTCATTGTGAAGGAAGTCGCATTAGGCACACTAGAACTGATTCAGTGTCCCAGGAAACCAGGACCATGTAGACTCAACAGTGTGAGGTTAATGTCCATTTTCACACTAAGTATATGAATTGCAAGTGTGGGTACCTTTGTTAGTAGTATTATCCTTTTTTATTATTTATTTATTTATGGAAATGGGGCTTGTACATGGCACATAGGTGGAGATCAGAAGACAACTTGTTGGGGTTGGTTCTCTCCACCATGTGGGTTCCGGGGATCAAATTCAGGTCATGAGGCTTGGTGGCTAGTGCCTTAGCCTGTTAAACTGTCTTGCTGGGCTCTGTGTCCTTTTAAAACTAGTTCTGGAGAGATGGTTCAGTGGCTAAGAACACTGGCTGTACTTCCAGAGGACTAGGGTTCAATTAATTCTCAACACCCACATGATGCCTGAGCTGTTTGTAACTTGACCCAAGGGATCCATCTTCTGGCCTCCCTTGCAGGCAAAACACCATGCAGATTTTTTTAATGTGAAAAGAATGAAATAGATTTAAACTATAGATTTGATGTACGTTTTAAATTAAATCTAAGCATTGGTATTTAAAAGAGCTTAAGACAGCTGAGCATGGCAATGCTCACCTTCAATTCCAGCACTCAGGACGGGTGCAGGTGGATCTCTGATTTGGAGGCCAACCTGGTCTACATAATGAGAAATAGTGAGACCCTATCTCAAAAAACAAAACAAAGGTCTTTTTAAATTGTAAATGACTCATCTGTATTTTAGAGTCCGTTCTAAAAGTTGACTCATATAATATTGGGTTTTAGACACCTGTTTCTTCTATTGCAATCAATGGTTTTTTTCTGTTTACGCAGTATCTGAACTAGCCAAAACAATCTTAGGAATCAGAATGAATTTCAGTATCCATAGAGATGATTCTGAAGGTTTTAAGTGTTTGTGGTTTAAGCATTTAATAAACGTTTTTAAAGAAAAGCCTATTTTATCATTGTTTACAGTCTCATTCTTTCCTGAGTGACATGATGGATGCCGTAGAAAAACAGAACACTTGCCCAGCAAAAGCTCCAGCTCTGATCCCTTGTGTTGAAGAAATAAATTAATTTAAAATAAAGGCATTGAGAAGAATGAGCTTTGAGGATTTGGTAAAATTTCAGGGCAAAATACAAAAATCAGCAGCTTGCTTTCTTATACACAAAGGATCTAACTTGTTTTGAAACTTTTAAAACCATTTATGATTTCAATCAAAAAAGATTAATTTGAAATAAAATAGGAACTATAAGAATCTATTACAGGATACTTCTTTTTAATGTGGGAGAGTCGTTCCTCTAGTTGATATTGTGGTAGGTGGTTGTTGTTGTTGTTTGGTTTGTTTGTTTTTTCAGTAGGCAGGTTTTTTTTATTGTATTACTTTCTGTGGGTGGGTGTTTTGCCTGTGTGTATGTCTGTGTACCATTTGCTTGCAGTGCCCTTAGAAGCCAGAAAAGGGCATTGGATCCCCTAAGACTAGAGTTGCTGGGAATCAAACCTGGGTCCTCTGAAAGAGTAGCAAGTACTCTGAACTACTGAGCCATTTCCCTAGCCCTCCATTAAATATGAACAAACTGGAAAGATGCCCTGTTATTAGCTCAGACAGTAGGACATTATTAGAAAGCTAGACAAGTTGATTCTGAAGATCATACAGAAAGACAAAGATTGAAGAGTAACTCTAAAAACATAGCAAAGCAAAACTACCAGAAGGGACAAGCTCTATGGACATTTAAGCGTTATATAAAATTTCCATAATTAACACTGTGGCACAGGCACATAAATAGAAAGGCAGTTATAGTAAAAAAAAAAAAGTCCAAAAAACTGCACACAAGTATCTATAGAAATTGAGTAAAATAAGAGCATCCCTGCTCTGAAAACCTGATCATACTCCAAAATCTGAAAGCAATTTTTGTATGCCAACATGAGCCTGCAAGTAGAAAATTCTGTATCTGCCTTATGCCAGAGTCGAAGCACAGAAACACTGCTGTCTATGTGGTGCACGCTTGTCATTTTAACGGTAAGAAGACTGAGGCCAGAGAATTGAGTCCAAGGCCATTGTGAATTACACAGTGAGATGCTGTCCAAGAGAAAAGGAAACAAAGGATCTGGACTTGGTAGCTAACCCTTATGATTCCATCTCTTAGGAGGCCAAGGCAGTAGAATTGTTGATAATTCGGGGCCAGCCTGGGCTACAATAAGATCCTGTCTCATAAATGCATGGTGTGAAAGGGGGAGGAAATGATGGAATTTTTAGGGTTTGTTTGAGACAGGATTTCTCTGTGTAGTCCTAGCTGTCCTGGACTCGCTCTATCTACCAGGTTGGGCTCGAACTAAGAGATCCACCTGCCTCTGCCTCCTGTGCGCTGGGACTAAAGGTGTGCGCCACTATACCTGAATAGATGAAACTTTTTAAATGGAGCTGGGACAACTGCATAACCATTTGAAATTAGATCTGCATTTGCGCCATATAGAAAAACAAGCCCCAGTGAATTAAGAGCCTAAATGTAAAAAAATGAAACCCTAGAATTACTAGAAGAAACATGGTAAGTTAGTTCCCTTTAACTTTACATAGTGATGGGCAATAAAATAATAAATAGCAAAATAATTTTTGTCAGCCAGGCGGTGGTGGCGCACGCCTTTAATTCCAGCACTTGGGAGGCAGAGGCAGGCGGATCTCTGTGAGTTCGAGGCCAGCCTGGTCTACAAGAGCTAGTTCCAGGACAGGAACCAAAAACTACGGAGAAACCCTGTCTCGAAAAATCAAAAAAAAAAAAATAATAATAATTTTTGTCATAAAGACACATGCATTAAATCATTTGATCTTTACCGGGCATGGTGGCACACTCCTTTAATCCCTGCATGCGGGAGGCAGAGGCAGGCAGGTCTCTGTTTGAGGCTAGTTTGTAGTTTGGTCTACAAAGCAAGTTCAGGACAGCCAAAGCTGTTACACAGAGAAACCCTATCTCGGGGGGTGGGGGGTGCCTTCATATACTTGCTTGTTACATTGATACCTGTACTCTTTCTTTGTGGGTTTGGAAACTGGGGCTTAAAGGATAAATAACTTATTTAAGGACGTGTGGTAGCTTCAAGACTTGAGCTTAAACTTGCCTAAATCTAGTGCCCTTGCTGGGTTGTTTTATTTGTTTGTGGGGGTGGGGGGAGTAGTGTGTGTATATATGTGATTTGGGTCACATGCAATTTTAAATTTCCTACTAGCCATATTAAAGAGGTTTAAAAGGAAACAGATAAAATAATTTTAATACATAAAGCTAGAGAAATAACTCGGAGGTTAAGAACTCTTGCTGGTCTTCCAGAACCAAACCTAAGTTTGGTTCCCAGCATCTATGTTGGAAAACTCACAATTGTCTATAACCCTGGCTTCATGGGATCTTACAATCTAAAGTGCTCTTCTGGCCTCTGCTGGCACTTGCATACACGTGGCATACATCGATTCATGAATACACATGGGAATAAAACTTCAAAGCCAGGCGGTGGTGTTGCACTTCTTTAATCCCAACACTCGGAAAGCAGAGTCAGAACTCTGTGAGTTCGAGGCCAGCCGGGTCTACAAAGTGAGTTCCAGAACCAACCAGAACTGTTTCACAGAGAAACCCTACCTTAAAGAGCAAAAAGAAAAGGAAAAAAAAGAAAAGCTTTAAAATAATAGTGATTTTAATATTGGCTGATCGTAGTGACACACACCTTTAATCACAGCGCTCTGGATACAGAGGGCATCCTAATGCACATGAGTTCCAGGCCAGTCACAGATACATGATGGTGAGACCTTGTCTAAAAAATTAATTAATTAGCTAATGAATTAAATACTGTACTCATCTAACCTGGTGTAGTTCCACATCTAATCTTGGTTTGGTATTTTTAAGGTGTTAGGGTCGATGTGCCTTTAATCCTAGCACTCAGAAGGCAGGCTATGGGATCTCTAGAGTTTGAGGCCAGCCAGGATTGTGTAGTGAGAGTGTTGCAAAGAAAAACATTATTGAGATACTTTGTTTTCATGCTAAATTTGAAATGTAGGATGTTTACATTTACAGTCATCTCAGTCTGTGTGACTGGTGACCAACTATATTGGCTTTCACAATTCTAGACTGTGAGATAAAAATTAGGATGTATTTTTGATTTTACATTCTTGATACAGTGTTGACTTCTTTGCAAATGTGAACAAGTCTGTTTCTGTTTGGTAGTGAGAGTGTGTAGCATACTCCCATTATGCAGTCCAAGACTTGTTAATCAAACATGTGACTCACACCTGTGGCCCCAGTGCTTGATGAACTGGGGCAGGAGGATCTTGTTCAAGACTAAGCTACATGTCAAAATCCTGTCTTTTTTAAAAGTTTATATTGCACGTTGAAAACTATTCTTTGCAACCCTTATTTTGTTTTGTTTTTTAGGGTTAAGCCTGTTGAGCCAGGTTTTCTCAAACCAATTTCCTAAAATGGCTGCGCTGTCGAAGCAGTGGTTCACGTTTCTTTCTGAAACCTTTCCTTGTTGCTTCAAGGTTGAGCTCAGTGAATTGCTATGGCCTTCATGAATATCCTTAGACTCAGAGTAAAATTTTCTGTTTCAGAATTTGGCGTTCACCTGGCAGAGCTGACTGTAGATCCTCAGGGGGCACTGGCCATCCGTCAGGTGAGTCCCTTTACTTAGTAAGGGAACTTTCTTAGGGGAAAGAGAAAGGATAAGGGCAGTGTATCAAACAGGATTTTTGTACCAGATTTATGTATGATTCAGTTGTATCAAACCAAGTATGTGGTTTTATGTGTGAAAATAAGTTATTTCTTGTTGCACATGATGGCTTACTCTCTTCACAGCTGGCATCAGTCATCCTGAAGCAGTATGTGGAAACTCACTGGTGTTCCCAATCGGAAAAGTTCAGACCTCCTGAAACTACAGAAAGGGTAACAGCAGTTCTGTGGCTATCTACCTAGAAAGATGTGAGAGGCAGTCTTAATACGTTCAGCATTAGTCTAACATTTTTTTTTGATAACAGAAAACAAGACTAGGAAGAAAATAGTGAGTGGCATTATGATTACTATATATATATATGAGTATCATGATAGACTGTGTTCAAATCCAGTTCTACCCTTTTGCAGACCGTGAGAGCATTTGAAATCAGTTTAGCTGTGAACACTCTATTTCCTAAGTTTCCTAAATTAGAATTAAAATTACCATCGTCAGAGGGCTTAACAATGAAATGAAATAATACTTCTACTTAGTCCAGTTGCTAAGTACCCTGAGTACCCAAGAAGAGATGAGATACAGGTCTAGTACTGTGGGTTGGAACCTTCTACAATTGTCCAATATAAGCATCGCTGTGACTGGTGAACTCTTAAAATGTGGCTCCTGAGCCCAGTGTGGTAGTACACGCCTTTAATTCCAGCACTCGGGAGACAGAGGCCGGCGGATCTACTCAGTTCCAGGACAGCCAGGGCTACACAGAGCAACCCTGTCCTGAAAAAAACCAAAACTATAAAAAGTAAATTAAAAATGTGGCTACTATAACTGAACAACTAACATTGTCCCGAAGCAGATGGGTCTCTCTGCCTACCACCTGATTAATGACAAATGGCCTTTCCTCTTTACAGGCAAAAGTTGTTATTCGAGAGCTATTACCCAATGGGTTGAGAGAATCAATAAGCAAAGTGCGCTCCAGTGTGGCCTATGCTGTGTCTGCCATTGCCCATTGGGATTGGCCAGAAGCCTGGCCCCGCCTCTTCAGCCTGCTCATGGAGATGTTGGTGAGCGGAGACTTGAATGCCGTCCACGGGGCCATGCGCGTGCTGACAGGTATCAGAAGCATTTTCCCTGGTGCTGAGACTTGACCTTGTGAGAGGGACAAGAGCCATGTAATAATGTGTCCCAGACCAAAGAGCTGTTACATGTTGTTCCTCTCTTCTAGGTCTTTGTAAATGGTGATCTTCTAGTTTTTATCTCCACAGCCACCAGAAGTTCCATTGATTCTTTCCAGGGAATTGAGTTAGCATAGTTATACTTCCAAATCTTCACTTAGGAATACTGGAGGCTGAGGGTGTGATTCAGTGACAGAGCATGCACAAGCTGGAATACCACACACATACAATGATACAGTAATGCCATAACAAATAATTCGATTTTTGGTTAATAGTCTGATTGCACCTTGACCCTTCACATAGCCTCTTTGAGCCTTAGTTTCTAAGATGCTATCTTAACTACTGTTCAATTGCTCTGCAGAGACACCATGACCAACACAGCTCTTACAAAACTGGTTACCTGCACAAGGTCACACCAACAACGCCAGTCAATATTCCAATAACCAATAATGTTTCACTCAGTGGTTCACACAAAAAGGTGGAGGGTATAAAGGGGGAATGGGGACATGTTGGGGGTACCGAGGAGAGTGGACTGGGGAGTTGCTTATAGTCTTAGGGGTTAGTCCATGATTGTCTTGGTGGGGGGCAGACAGGCACGGTGCTAGAGCAGTAGCTGAGCGCTTTTCTGTGATCGAATAGCAGAGAGACAGACTTGGGACTTGGCATATAGGCTTTTGGAGCCTCAAAGTCCACCCCAGTATCATACTTCCTCCAACAAGGCCACACTTAATCCTTCTTAAACAGTTTCACTCCCTGGTGACTAAGCATCCAAATATATGAGCCTATGGATCTATTCTCATTCAAACCACTGCAGATGCTAAACTCAAAGGAGATTTGGTAGTTGATATATGCTAATCTATATAAAGCATTGAGTGTAACAACCAGCTGACAGTGTAGTAGACTCTGAGCAAACCTTAGTCATTAGGTTGAACATAGTTCATAAGTATTCTTTTCTATGTAATTGTCTCTATAGCCTCTTGAAAATATCGCAATTGGTTGTTCATCTTTTTTAAGATTTTATTTATTATGTATACAGTGTTCTGCCTGCAGGTAGACATGCAGGCCAGAAGAGGGCACCAGATCTCATTACAGATGGTTGTGAGCCACCATATGGTTGCTGGGAATTGAACTCAGGATCTTTGGAAGAGCAGCTAGTGCTCTTAACCACTGAACCGATTCTCCAGCCCGATTGTTCCATCTTAAGATGATTATATAAACACATGAGATGAAGTGTATAGTAATCAAAACTCAGAGACTTGTACTCTGCGGCTAGGTTGAACCAAGGAAAAATTAAGAGTAGCCAGAGTTCAGCTGAGTGAGCACGGTGTTACACACTGTTAAATCCAGCCCTGGGGCAAGGGGGAATCCTCCTGTTACCAAGCTCTGAGAGAAATGCCAGGCCTTGGTAGACTGTAACCTCTGACCAGCAGGGCCTCCCAACAGTTTGTTTAGTTTTATGAGACAGGGTTTCTCTGTGAAACAGTCCTGACTGTCCTGGAACTAACTCGCTTTGTAGACTAGGCTGGCCTCGAACTCACAGAGATCCTCTAAAATGCTGTGGTTAAATGTTTGTGCCACCCATCTTGGGGTCTTCTTTCTATTTGACTAAGGAAATTACTGTGCAGTGAGGTCGTTTTCTATCAGACTCTGAGTGGATGGCACTCAACCTCCATTCACAAATAGCTACTCTGATCATTTTCAAAGGAAGACAGACTTTCAGCTTTGCACCACAGTGGGTTAAACACCTTCACTTAGAGCGGCTCCAGAATTACACATTGATAAATGGAGTTGAAACTTAGTACAACTGTGGATGGGTAGTTGGTTGGTTAGTTTTTTTGAGATAGGTTAGCCCTAGCTGTCCTGGAACTCATTATGTAGACCAGGCTGCCCTTGAACTCCCAGGCCTGCAAGTCTACCTGCCTCTGCCTCCTGAGTGCTATGCCTGGCTTATGTTTGTTTTGTTATTTGCATTGAAGCAACTTATTGGGATGGAACTGAAAACTGAGCGGCAGTTGAGAGATCTCAGACATGTACCCAGGTGCTAACATGGTGCTCAACAGCAGGCCTGATTGTCTTTGCTTATATACAGTTGCGTTGCAGATCTCTTCAGTCTCATGTTGGTTTCCTGTCTTAATTTTGTGTGTCTTCCTTTTGTGTTCCTATACTCTCTCCCCTTCGAACAAATAATACTCTGGCTTCTCTTTCTTCCTTGAGGTGAGGCTGCTGGACCAGTGGCCATCCTTATATGCTAACTGGCTTGGAAATTTTCACACTTTGTCTTTATGAAGCACTTTTTATTTTTTGTCTTTGCAGAGTTTACTCGAGAAGTGACAGACACACAGATGCCACTTGTTGCTCCTGTCATTCTCCCAGAAATGTATAAGATCTTCACCATGGCTGAGGTATGAATCTCAGGCCAGTGGTTGCAGTGTTGTCTTGCTGTGGTCAGCATCCACCTCTCAGGTGGATGGTCATGGGATTTGTCAGTGATGCCCATACCAAAGAACTAGAACTTACAGTGGTCCAGATCAGAGATTGAATTGACCATAGTCTTTGATCTCGTGACTGTAAAGAGAAGCCTTTGATAAAAGCACTTGATAAAGTAACAGAAATATATCAATACACATAGCTTCTGGTACCCTATCCTCCTTGAGTTCATAATGCCACTCCTGACCTTGCCTACTCAGCCACGGATTTAGAAATAGTCTGTTACTATCTATGTACGTGTTAGTATGTATATAAATAGTGATCTGTTCACAATAATATGTAAACACTTATAGGTATTCAGCCTTCATAATCCCTTGCTCCCAATGAATACTCCACATTTTAAGAGATGCATAAAGAAATGGGGATACAGCTCTGTATAGAGCTTGTGATTAGTATTTGCAAGGTCCTGGGTTTATCTTCTATCATAACAAATAAAGCAGCAGCAGCTGCTGCACATGCTGTAATCCCAGTGCTCAGGATGCTGAGGCAGGAGAAACAACCCTATCTCCAGAAAAGGAGAAAACATACATTAGCCACACCCTGCGTGGTGGAATGTGTCTTTAATCCCAGCACTTGGGAGGCAGAGGCAGGCTGAGTTCTAGGCCAGTCTAGTCTACACAGTGAGTTGTAGGCCAAACTACAAAGTAAAGCCCTCTCTCAAAAAAAGAAATAAAAGGCTATGTTAGGATTTCAAGTATTATAGGACCTGTTTTTAGTCACAGACCTGTATATGAAAGGCTGATGCTTGTAAGTTCTGACATTTTGTTGAATTATTCTCTCTTAATTATTAAAACCTATTTACTACATAAGTGGGTTGAATCTATCTCTGGGATTTGGATTAGTCCTAGTTTCACTTCCCATGGTTTTTTTCCCTAGGTGTATGGTATTCGAACTCGTTCCCGAGCAGTAGAGATTTTTACTACTTGTGCCCATATGATCTGTAACATGGAGGAGCTAGAAAAGGTAAGTGAGCCTTAGGTTGGTAATTAACAAAATTTGTGCATCAGAGTCTTATTAGCCTTTTCCGTTGCCAATAACTCATTTCGTAAGTACCAGAAAGCATACTAGCCAGCCTTGTATAGATAGATTTAACTTTTTCATTGAATTTTTAACATAGATATTTTAGTTTTATAGTTCTTCAAATACCTTTCCTATATCCTTTTCTTTTTATTTTTTCTTTTTCTTTATTTTTATTTTTTTTTTAAGATTTATTTATTTATTATGTATACAACATTCCTTCCTTGTCTGCCTGCAGGCCAGAAGAGGGCACCAGATCTCATTATAAATGGCTGTGAACCACCATGTGGTTGCTGGGAATTGAACTCAGGACCTCTGGAAGAGCAGTCAGTGCTCTTAACCTCTGAGCCATCTCTCCAGCCCCTCCTTTTCTTTTTATTATATCTTTCTGTTTTGGTGATTTTTTGGTTTGGTTCTTCCATACTGGAAATTAAACCCAGAACCTCACACATTCCAGGCAAGCACTCTGCCGCTGAGCTGTACTTCCAGTCTTCCTATGTCCCTTCGTAATAGATCTCTTGAGCCTTTCTACTGTTGTAAGGCTGTTCTGTGTGAAAGAAAGCTAGCTGAAAATGCCGATTTCTGGGACCCAGGTACATTTCTGAGAAGTGGTCAGGTGGGATAGGTTTAAGAGACTAGAGTGAGGAACTGAAGGTAGGCGCTGAGGTCTGAAGTCTTGAGGAATTCCTGCAGTGACTGTAGCTGTGGCCTTTGATTAGGACCTGGCGCCAAGAGAACTCTAGATGCTTCAAAACTGAAATTAGTGTGTGTGTTGAAGCTATGGATTGGAGGTTTGTTCAGCATTGACTTTGGTTTCTGTTGTCAGGGTGCAGCCAAAGTCCTGATCTTTCCCGTGGTTCAGCAATTCACAGAGGCCTTTGTTCAGGCGCTCCAGATGCCAGATGGCCCCACATCTGACAGTGGTTTTAAGATGGAGGTTCTAAAGGTAAAGATATACAATCAGTGAGACTTGGAGTTGAGAGAGAATCAGAAATCATTGCTTCTGTGCTACTCAGTGGTTTTTTTGTTTTTCTCTTCTCAGGCAGTGACAGCCTTGGTGAAAAATTTCCCAAAGCACATGGTATCCTCCATGCAGCAGATCCTTCCCATTGTTTGGAACACTCTAACCGAAAGTGCTGCCTTATATCCTTTCCTGAGAACCCGAAGGACCCGCTGCCTGAAGCTGAGGGTCTATCCTTGGGTCTCACAGTTCTTCGTGGTGTGTGTGTTCTTAGTGTCGGGGTGCTAGCACTCCTTGTAGACTACATGTACAGCAGACTCTAGGTTCTCTGCCTTTACTCTACATCGTACTTATGTGAGGACAGAAGTGAATTACACGGAAGAAGTGGAAGATCCTGTGGACTCAGATGGTATGTAGTGTACCGGACCCTAACAGAAATACCAGTTCTTAGGGAAAGGAATCTGGCAAAGACAAGTGAGAGGCGGAAAACAAAAAGGCAGTAAAAGCATATTTCAGTGTATTGTGTGAGGCATGGAGAATCCATGTCTTCCATCTCATATTTGGGGACATTCAGAGTCCACTAAAAATCAAAGCGTTCGAGTTGTAGCGAAAATACCTGTGATATTTTGCCTCTTTGATGTCCCAGATGATGATACTCTCCATTTCTATGTCAATATGTAAGTATTTCAGATCAAAAATAGACATGCTGGGAAATGTTTATGTCCAATGCTTATGATTCTTTTACTCCTAAAAGCATTTACCGTCCTCAAAGTACCTTTCTTTGACTCTAAAGAAGGAAGCTAAAGCCTCCTCTACCAATACTTCAGGAGTAATTAGCAAGTATTTTCATTTTCAATTAATATACAAAGATAATGTCGTTTATTTCCAGAGTGAATGTTTTCTATTATTAATTTCTACTCTTGTATATTCCCTATAGGAGAAGTCCTAGGCTTTGAGAACCTCGTCTTTAGCATTTTTGAATTTGTCCATGCCCTACTAGAAAACAGCAAATTCAAAAGCACCGTTAAGAAGGCTCTGCCTGAGCTTATTTACTACATTATCCTGTACATGCAGATTACCGAGGAGCAGGTAAATGGTACTTGGGGAACAAGTTACTAACTTGTATTGGAAGCTTGAAGAATGTAACAGCTTGGTCAAGTAGACATCTCATTTCTGAAACAGACAGCAAGAGACTAACTTTATGTGAAATCCTAGAAAAAAAAAATTGGCATTATTTTCTCAACCAAATCCCTGAGTATTAGGAATTTTACCAACTCTGTTAGCTAAACTTTTATAATACTTTTCCATTAGGAAAATCCAAATTAAGCTAAGAAAATGTTATTCAGACTCAACTCTAAGTTTTGGTGATATGCAGGGTATAGTAATAGACTTTTAATTTCAGCTGCTGCCATCAACTTGCTTCTTCTTTTTTTGTTTTGTTTTTGTTTTTCAAGACAGGGTTTCTCTGTAGCTTTGGAGCCTGTCCTGAAACTAGCTCTTGTAGACCAGGCTGGCCTCGAACTCACAAAGATCCGCCTGCCTCTGCCTTCTAAGTGCTGGGATTAAAGGTGTGCGCCACCACCGCCCAGCAACTTGCTTCTTCTTTAGCCACATTGAAGTCTCAATGGCTTTCTGATCTGCATTTAGAGAAGGAACAAAAGAGTAACAACAGCCAGGTGGTGGAGCACACCTTCATTCCCAGTACTCAGGAGGCAGACACAGGTGGATCTCTGAGTTCAAGGCCAGCCTGGTCTACAGAGGGAGTTCTAGGACACAGCCAGGGCTACATAGAGGAAAACCTGTCTTCAAAAAAAAAAAAAAGTAAAAGTAAATGAATTTCCCCAGATCTGGGGAGAGTTGCAGGGAAGAGTGAAGTAGTGAATGTGTTCAAAACACATTGTATGAAGTTCTCAGAATTAATACAATTCTGTAGTTTTAACATAAGGAAAAAGGCTATATCAGTGTAGGCCATTGAGATGGTTCAGCAGGTAAACATTTTCACCAAGCCTGATAACCTGAGTTTAGTCCTGGTCCCATGTGGTGGGAGAGAACTGATTCCTCGTGGGCATAAATGTAACTTAAAAAAAGAAAATGAGATATAAATAACTATCTTTTAACACAAAAATTGTTATAATTTTATAGTAAATATCCCAGTATATTCAGAAAAAAATCTATTTATCACAGTAACAAGCTGATGACAGTAACTAAGTAATTTGTCAAATTCTTTTTGGGGAGTGGTTTGAGACAGAGTTTCTCTGTGTAGCCCTGGCTGTCTTGGAACATACTCTATAGACCAGGCTGGCCTCAAGCTCACCGAGATCTGCCTGCCTCTGCCTCTTGAGTTCTGATTTTAAAGGTGTGTGCCACCACCGCCTCTCTGGCAAATTTGTCAAATTCTAAAGAAGATTCTGCTACAGAGAAATAGCCATCTCTACAGATTTGGATAAATATTTGTTTCTCAATTTAAAAAAAAAAAAAAGAGAGAGAGAGAGAGACTTTAAAACACAGGGAGGCAGATAGATCCCTCCTTAGTTCAGGGTCAGCCAGGGCTATATAGCAAGACCCCCATCTCAAAAAGAAAAAGACTTTAGACTGGAGTGTGATTGGGAGAAAAGATTGAGGGCTTCCCATGGCTGCTGATAAAAAGAAGGAACATATAAACAAGAATGGCAGCCTCACAATAACCCGACCTCATCCTCATCACAGATTAAAGTGTGGACAGCTAACCCACAACAGTTTGTAGAAGATGAGGATGATGACACTTTCTCCTATACTGTAAGAATTGCAGCTCAAGACTTGTTGCTGGTAAGAGTTACGTTGCTTCTTCAACCAAATAACCCTCCAGTAATTGGAAGTTTCTTCTTCCTAGACATCTAACCCAAGGTAAGCAGCACTATTGGGCAACTTCACCTCAGACCTTTTTAAGGATTTAAGAAAGTTGCTCAAGAAATTTGAGACTTAGAAATTCCAAAGTTGTAGCAACTGGTTCATTAAATCAGGATGCTTCCGTTTGCTCCTGCCTTCAGCCAACTTCCATGGCACAAACCAGAAGCTGGCAAACTTAAAAAGATTGTTGGGAGATGAGCATGCAACACCAGCTCATGATTTCTTTGGCTCCTCCAGCTGGAGCACAGGGTTGTCTCTAGTCCAGCGTGCTGTGAAGAAACTGCTATGTCCTATTGGGTTTATTGGTGAATCATGTCTCATTACTGTTGAGTGCTTCTCAACTTACACGAGGAGCAGGGGATATAGCTCAGTAGTAGAGCACTTGCGTAGCATGTGCAAAGTCAGCTTGACTGAATTGCTGAACCAAAAAAGAAGTAGAATAGGAAAAAAAATTATGTGCTATAGTGGCCTCAAATCTTTATGGTCAGTCAGCTTCCAAGACAATAAATTTCTGGTCCATTGTCATCCAAAGCTAACTGTTATTTTTTTGCTTAATGCCTCATTTAATAGAGCCAAACACTTCGACTATTTAGAGCTATTTAGGCTTACAATGCATAAACACTACAGAATTTCATCAGAGACCCTGAATTAATGGGGTCACTTTTAATATACCTAATCAGGCTCTAGTATGGGTGTGTCAAGTGTTTGAACCGTCCACACACATACATTTATTTTTAGATCTTCTCTCTCCCTAGGCTGTGGCCACAGATTTCCAGAATGAGAGTGCAGCAGCCCTGGCTGCGGCAGCCACTCGGCATTTACAAGAAGCTGAGCAGACCAAAAGCAGTGGCACTGAGCACTGGTAAGAACATGCAGAAGCTGGGCTGCCCACCACCCTCATGGCAGCCAACAAGCAGCTGACAGCCATCTATAACTCCAGTTTCAGCAGACCCCCCCCCCCCCCCCCCCCCCCCCCCCCCCCCCCCCCCCCCCCCCCGTCTTCTGTCTTCTGAAGGCACCAGGCACTCTGGCAGGACACAGAGGCAGGAAGGCAGGCAGTGCATGTATGTGGTAACAAGCATGCGTGTATGCAGCGCTCTCATCCTTTATGATAGGCCAATGGCACTATTAAAGTGGAGTAGGTCTCAGGAGCACAAGAACCCAAATCTCTGCTGCGTGGAAACACAGGAAACCAGAGCCCTCCCCATAAAACTCATGCACTGTCTCACAGGCTCTAAGCTCCCTTGCGACTGGATATGGTACATGACTTCTGTCGTAGCACTTGGGAGCTAGAGGCAAGAGATTTAGAAGTTGAAGGTCGTTCTTCCTTGATACATAGTGAGTTTGAGGCAAGCATATGTAATACCCCGTCTCAAAAAATAAGGACTGGGGTGGGGGGATGACACATGCCTTTAGTCCCAGCACTCAGTCAGACGCAGGCAAATTGAGTACAAGGCCAGCCTGATCTACAGAGCAAGTTTCAGGACTACACAGAAAAACCAAAATAATAATAATAATAATAGCTGATTAGATGAATCCGCAGGTAAGGACACTTAAAGTCAAGCCTGACAAACTGAGTTCAGTCCCTAGAACCCACAGCATAGAAGTAATGGATTGACCTCTGCATGCATGCCATTACTAGTAAATGCTCCTACACAGTAGGTAGGCAGGTAGGCAGATGTAAGAATATTGTTTTAAATAAATAAATTAGAAATAAAGATAAATGACTTTGGGATCATCATTCTGGAATACCTTTTTCTACCTGGCCTTACCTCAAATACCTTTATTTCAGAAGTGTAGTTTGTTTTAGCAACTGCAATATCCTTTTTGCAGGTGGAAAATCCATGAGGCCTGCATGCTTGCTCTAGGCTCAGTGAAGTCCATCATCACTGACAGTGTGAAAAATGGCAGGATCCATTTTGACATGCATGGGTTCCTGACCAACGTCATTCTTGCAGACCTCAACCTGTCAGGTATGTTTTAATGTGTGCCAGGATTCTAGATCTTGGGACTTGCTATTAACTCACATACCCTTTGTTTGTGTGTCTGTGTGAGTATGGTGTATGCATACCACAGGCCAGAAGAGGTTGTCAAGTATCCTATATCGCTCTCTGGTTATTCCTTTGAGGCAAGGTGTTGCCTTGAACCTGAAGGTCGCATCTTGGCTAGACCAAAATCCAGCAAGCCCAGTCCTACGTCTCTGCCTCTGTCAGAGCTGGAGTTACAGATATTTCCTGACTTGTTGCATGGATGCTGTGATCCAAATTCTTAGCCTAATGATTACAGAGCAAACATTCTTAACCCCTGAGCCATCTCTTAGCCCCCTTTTCTTCTCTCTTCCCCTTCACGTCTCTTAGTTTTGTGTATGTTTGTGTATTTAGATCTGAGTTCAATTCTTTAATACCCCAAGGGGTATGGCTCACCACTTGTAACTCAAGCTCCAAAGAAACTGATGCCCTCTTCTGGCAACTACTGGCATTGCACTCATGTACACCTTCACATACATCCACATAATTGAGATTAAAATCTTTAAACAAAAACATAAGAATTGTGACTCGTATCCATTCCTTTAGTTATCATAGTCATGATGTCATATATGTACATGTTACCTCTGGAAAATGCCCTTGTTCACTTGTGAAGTAATGAGAACAAAAAAATTAATGTCTTGATATTCTTTAAAAATGATTTTCGGGGTTGGGTAGTGTTGGTGCACACCTTTAATCCCAGCACTTGGGAAGCCAAGGCAGGTGAATCTCTGAATTCGAGGCCAGCCAGGGCTACGCAGAAAAACCTTATCTTGAAATCTTCCCCCTCCCCCCCCCAAAATAATTTGGGGTCCTGGAGAGATGGCTCAGCAGTTAAGAACATTGGCTGTTTGATTGCCAGCATCCACATGGTGACTCACAGCTGTCTGTAACTCTAGTTCCAGGGATGCCATGCCCTCTTCTGGCCTCTGGGCACTAGGCACTCATGTAACATACAAATATACATACAGACAAAACACCCATACACATAAGATTATGAAATGTTTAAATTAAAGAATAATTTTAGCTATAAAGATGTTCAGGAACACCTGGTCCATATCTAGGCAATTATTGCCTCTGTATACCTAAAATGTTAGTAATTATTTACTGGTCTGTTAGGAGCTATTCAATAATTCCTGTCAGTTAAATATTTTAGTGTGAATGACTAAGCTACACTCTTTGACAGGCTGAATAAATTCAGTTGCCTCAAGCAGTTTGTGCTTGGCAGGAGGTAGTAATTCTTACACTAGTGGATAGACTCAAACAAAATACAGCAGACGAGGAAGCTGAGCATATGGAATTACAGGAGCTCAGAGGTAATTGGGATTACTTGCCTAAGAGATCACTGGAGTGATATAAAAGAGGAATGTGTTGACTTGTAATTTAAACAAAGGCCAGAGTTGACAGAGCAAGGTTGAGTTTCCAGGACTGGGTATGTGCTTGAGTTTTGTAGCCATCAAGAGAGACTTGAATGCCATCACTAGTGTTGTGCATATTTGGTGGACTATAAAATTATTTGGCAGGTTATTAATAGAGGGATAACATAGAGCTGTAATTTATGTTCTAGTGTAATAGGAAGAAAGTGCAGTGGGGAAAGATTTAGATGAACTATAGTGTAGGCAAGAAATGACAAGGGCTTTAGTCAGAATATTTAGTAGTCAGGTAGAATTAAGAAATTGATTCTGTACTAATCGTTGTGCATATTCTTTTAGCATATGAAACTGCTTTTTCAGTCATATATGTTATGTAGCATCCAGTTATTTAACATTTGAGAAATGGAGTTGGGAAGGAGGAGGGGCAAGAGGAACTTTTCATTGTCTGAACTGTAATTGCTCTTTCATCTTAGCGTCCCCTTTCCTCTTGGGACGAGCACTGTGGGCTGCCAGTCGTTTCACTGTTGCTATGTCTCCTGAACTGATTCAGCAGTTCCTACAGGCGACAGTTAGTGGTCTTCATGAAACACAGCCCCCATCAGTTCGGATTTCTGCTGTGAGAGCCATCTGGGGGTAAGTATGCTAAATGGTGAGAACTGCTTAAAGAGAAACTGACTCGGACAGAGAGCATCACAGCTGTCCCGTGCACTATAATGTTTGGAAATTTCTCCTTCAGGAGGAATATGGGAAAGAAAGGAAAAAAGCAGTGCAGGTGACTTCAGAAAGTTCCCTTTTGTTCCTCATTCCTGTTAATTCACTCCAGCTGTGAAGTCACTTAGGCAGCTTTCTTTCTTCAGTGGAGGGGCATAGCCCAAGGTTCTGAGTGATAAGTAATTTGTGTAAGAGTTGCAGTATTGTCGAGGGACATAAGTCTGACTAGCAACCACATCCTTGCTATAGTCTCTGTGTTAGAAACCAAATTTGAAAGAATGTGGCTTAGAAACACGGTTCATTTTTCCAGTTTCATATATTTTTCATAGGTTCAGACTAGAGTTTTAGTAGTCAACATGGATGAGTGTTTGCTTGCACATATGTCTGTATACCAGGTGCATATTTGGTGCCCATAGAGGTTTGAAGAGGACATTGGATGGATCTTCTGGAACTGGAGCTATAGACAGTTGTGAATGCTGGGATTTAAGGCCGGGTCCTGCACAGGAACAAGTGTTCTTAACTGCCATCCCCTATCCCCAGGCCTGAACAGTGTTATTTAAGGTTTAAATTTAAGCATCTCAATTGAATTCTATGCATGAGAAATACAGTTTATCTTTCTATCCTATCATCTTAACTTTTGAAACAGTAACTGAGAAACCATGCATTGAGAGAGAAAGAGGGAGGCTGGGAGGGATATCCTTAGTTAGGGAGCACTGCTGTTATGTGTTGAACAGTAAATGGCACAGCCATGAACAAAGGACCGTCTTTTCCTGTGCAGTCTTGGTAAAGCAGATCCTTGGATCTAAATGAATTTAAAATGTATTGTACTAAGAGAAACCACATATAGCTTTTCAGAAAGCTCTGAAGCCATTCTAAGGAGGAAGCCCTAACTTGGTTAACCACTGCCCATATTGCTTTTGACCTTTGTAAAACTTGATTTCATCTACATGAATTAATTATTCCCTGAAGCCTTAGACATCCCTTGTGGACAGTTGTCAGTATAAAATTAAAAGCAGGTGCTGGAGAGATGATTTAGCAGTTAAGAGCACATATTGTTCTTGAAGAGGACTCAAGTTTGATTCCCAGTACCCAGTCAGGCAGTTTACAACCACCTGTAACTCCAACTCTAGATCTGAAACACCCTAGACCTCCTCTTACACATAAATAAATAATAATATTTTTATGAAAAAATTAGCTGGGCGGAGTGGCACACACCTTTAATTCCAGCACTCAGGAGGCAGCGGCAGGCGGATCTCTGTGAGTTCGAGACCAACCTGGTCTACAAGAGCTCGTTCCAGAACAGGCTCCAAAGCTACAGAGAAACCCTGTCTCGAAAACAAACAAACAAAAGAAAGAAAGAAAAAAATTAAAAGCCTTTGCCAACAAAATAAGAACAAAACCATTAAAATCTATATATGTGTGTGTATTGCTTAAAAGTTTAAAAATGGGCCAGGAACAAAACCAGGATAATAAATTTAAAAGTAGATTATGAATTGGTAAAAGAAATGAGTCTACTCTGTGTTGTGATTACACAGAAATGTTCAAACTGAGAAAGAGTTTGATATGTGTTTACTCAGGGTAAACACACCCCTTTTCTCGTGGGGTGTTTTAGAAAATAAACGCTTTCATTTAGTGTGTGTGTGGTACATATATTCATATATACATATGTGTGTGTATATATACATACATGTGTATGTGTGTATGTTTGGTTACAATAAGCTTAAATTTTATAGTCAGAAAAAAGTATTGAGAGGCTGGAGAGATGGCTCAGCAGTTAAGAATGCTCAGTGTATACTCATGAGTACTAGAGTTAAGATCCTAGCACCTGCTGGGTGTGGTGATACATGCCTTTAATCCCAGCATTCAGGGGCAGGAGCAGGGGCAGGCGGATTTCTGTGAGTTCAAGACCAGCCTGAATTGGTCTACTGAGTGAGTTCCAGGACCACCAAGGCTACATAGAGAAACCCTGGGGGGGTCAGAGAGATGGGGGGGGAAGGAAGGAAGGAAGGAAGGAAGGAAGGAAGGAAGGAAGGAAGAGAGAGAGAGAAAGGAAAGAAAGACAGACCCTAGCACCTGTGTAACAAGCTGGCCACCCTGCACACTTCCATAACTCCAGCTGCAAGGGAAGTGGGAAGAGACCGGAGAGTCACCTGAGAGAACAAGCCTTAAGTTCAGGAAGAGACCGTGCCTCAAAAAAGAATAGCTGAAAAGTGATAAGGAACACAGCGCCCTCTTCTGGCCTCTACATGTACACAGACACATGCGCCTGCATATATACATGTGCATACAGACAAACATTTACTCAAAAATAAATAAAAATCTTTAATGTGGAGATATTTTTAGTACCTAATGTATAGTTCTCAGTGACTCCTTAGGCAGTGATCTGCTGGTTTCCCTAATGCCAGAGAGTAGTGGGCACCCACTCCTTTACAGAGTTATACAAATGACCTCAGACACCAGATCCCCTAAACCATGTCTGAAAGTTCCAAGAGCTACCCTGGGGGGCTGGAGAGAGAACAGAATTAAAAGTTCCTACTCTTGCAGAAGACCTGAGTTGGGGGTCCCAGCACCCAGATGGGGCAGCTCATGACCCCCTGTTAGTCCAGCTCTAGTGGGGCTCAAAAACCTCTGGTCTCCATAAACTCCTGTATTCTCACACATACCCCCACACATCCAAAATTATAAAATGATAACAAAAATAAATCTTTGGGTCAGAGAGATGGCTCAATGGTTAAGAGGTGCTCACTGCTCCTTTTTTATTTGTTTTTGTGAGGGGGCGGTTGTTTGTTTTATTTTTTTTTTTTTTGTGCGTTTTCTTGGCCTTTTGAGACAGTGTTTCTCTGTGTAGGTAGCCTTGGCTATCCTGAAACTCACTCTGTAGACCAGGCTGGCCTTAAATTCACAGAGATACACCTGATTCTGCCTCCCAAGTGCTGGGATTAAAGTCATGCACCACCATTGCTGGACTTACTCTGGGGAGTTTTCTTTCAAGTTTCGTTGTATTTTTAAGTATTTGTATGTGGCCATGTGCATTTGAGTGCAGATATCTCTGGAAGCCTAAGAGACAACAGGCAGTTGTGAGCTGCCTAGTATGGGTGCTAGGAAACAAAAGCAGGTCCTCTAGAAGAACAGACTGTGCCTGAACCCCTGGAGTTTCAAATATAACATTTTTGTTCATCATAGCATCCTTGCTTTTTCCTTTTGTACCAGCTTTATAATTTATTCCCCCATGCAGTTGCTTATATGACAATATAAACAACCTTAAATGATTTCTGAACAAGGTATTTGTTGATATATAATTAGACTTTTGTCAGATTTTTCTGGTCATATTTATGACTGACTTTTTTCAGGTTTTTTGTTTGTTTGGTTTTGTTTTCTTGTTTGTTTGGTTTTTTGTTTGTTTGGGGGACTTTATTGTTTTTAGTTTTGTTTCTCTGTGTAATAGCTCTGGCTATTCTGGAACTCACTTTTGTAGACTAGGCTGGCCTCGAACTTACAGAGATATGCCTGCCTCTGCCTCCTGAGTGCCGGGAACTGGCTTTTATTAATTGTGTATGTATTAATTTAATGTGCATGGGTGTTTTGCCTGTGTGTATGTCTGTGCACTAGGAAGTCCAGCACTGTGAAACTGAGCTTCCATGTGGGTGCTGGGAATTGAACCTGAGTCCTCTGCAAGAACAATTGTTCTAAACCCCAGAGTATCTTTCCAGCCTCCACCCCCACCCCAGGTCTAACTTGTAAAGGCTGAAATGACACCTCACTTTGATCAGCTCTGGACTCTTGTTTCTTGTTTTGTTATCTTGCCTTAATTACAAGGGCGATGATGCTGATTTTCTGTTCTAAAAAGATCCACTGCTTGGCTCAAATTATTATAGCAATATACAGCTAAAAGTTGAAACATCAACTAGGAAGCTGCTGTAGTAATGCAGACAGAAGTTTCTACTGCAGTCTATAAGAGTAGCCAGTAGAAGATGGGGAGGAAGCCATGAGAAGGTAGGAACAAAGCTCTGAAACTAGGATTTTTTTTTCCTTTTCAAGATCTAAGGGTACAAAGTTGCTGAAGCAAAGAGTAGAGAAGTAGTGTAGACTTGTCAATAAATAGTAAGCTTAGTAGTCAATATTTTGATTTTTCAGTTATTTGTAAGAAATATATTCTGGAAGAACCAATAAGCAGTGACCATATGGTGGTTTACAACTATCTCCAGTTCCAGGTTACAGCGCCCTCTTCTGGCCTCTCAGGACTAGGCACATGAGTTGTTTCAGGCAAAACTCATACATATAGAATTAAATAAATCCCAAAACAGTTTAAAAGAAAAAGAAAGAAGTAAGGTCTGAGCAAAAAGCAAGTCTATGGCAAATGCAAGCCCACAAAACTGTAGCTTCACTGGTCATTGTGGAACTTTATGTGACTATAAAACAAACAGGAGTGGGGTTTGATGACACGCACCTTTCAGCCAGCACACCTGGAGGCAGAGGCAGGTGAAACTCTGGGTTCAAGACCAATCTTGTCTACATATCAATTTCCAGTTCAGTCAGACTACATAGTGAAACCCTGTCTTTAAAAATTATTGACTACCTACTAACAGGGTGTTATTTAGAGAAACAATGTTTTTATTTTTATTTTTATTTATTACTGCCATTCTATTGTAATTTTTAACTAATTAAAATTAATTTACTTAATTAAGGGAGGGCATGTGGGCATCTGCAACCAAAGCACACAAAGAACAACTTGTGGCAGTCAGTTCTCTCTTTCCACTATGTGGGTCCTAAGGATCCAACTCAGATCCCCAGGTTTGTCAGCAAAACACCTTTGTCCATTGAGCCATTTACCAGTTAGCTCATCCCCTGGCACTACCATTCTGAAAAGAGGCGTTGGACTGGAGGTGTAGTTCCGTGTCAGAGAATTTGCCTGGTATGTGCAAAGCCCTGAACTCCATCCCCATCAGAAAAGAGGGAAAGTGAAGGTTTAAATAATATGTTTGTAGCATTTGTATGCCATGAGAGACAGTAAGCAATATTCAGTAAATATTTGTTGATTAAGAGATGAATAGACCTGCGTAGAGAAGTTTAGACCCCAAAGGTAAAGTATTAACTTTGTAAGTACATATAAGACTGTTTACATAAATTAAACTCAATTTTGTCCCCCCAAAAACTTATAGCACAAAAATTTGTTACATGGAAATTAAAAAAATAGTCTCCTATTATACAATTGTAATGAAAAGATGTTTTAAGACTACATTTGGTTTTTGTTTTTTCTTTTTGTGAGTTGTCTTGTTTTGGTTTTGAGACAGGGTCTCACTGTGTAGCCCTGGCAGCCTGAACTTGCCCTGTAGACAAGGCTGGACATGAGCTACAGCATACAAGTGGAAGCCAGAGAATAACTTCCAAGAGTGGTTCTCTCCCCCTCTGTGTAGAGTCTAGGGGCCAGCTCAGGTCATCAGGCTTGGGGGAAGTACCTTTACTGGCTGAGCCATCTTGCCAGCTTTATACATTCAAATCTTGGTAATTTAACACTGTGGTCTGAGGACTCATAAGACATTTAACCTAGTCTCTTAATAGTTTGGGTGTGATGCTATAACTGGATTTGCCTCATCACCGGAGAGGAATGAACTTTTTTCAAAATATCTGATATTTTAAGAAGGTAAAATTAGAGGTGCTGATATTCATGTACTATGCTACAGAAAGATATAAAACCATAGCTAACTATAGAAGTGGCTCTATAAAGCTGTGTATGCATGTTTCATATAAGATTGGAAAGCCTAAGCATTGAAGGGTCTGCTTATGAGTAACTCTTAATTATCTCTCTCTGTCTCTCTAGTTATTGTGATCAGCTGAAAGTCTCAGAGAGTACACATGTGCTTCAGCCCTTCCTCCCCAGCGTCCTTGATGGACTAATTCACCTAGCAGCCCAGTTCAGCTCAGAGGTCCTCAACCTGGTGATGGAGACCCTGTGCATCGTTTGTACTGTTGACCCAGAATTCACAGCAAGTGTGGAAAGCAAAATCTGTCCCTTCACCATCGCCATTTTCCTAAAGTACAGTAATGGTATGCCATCAGGAAAGCTGTGTTGATGAGAAGTGGTGACTGGTGGGTTTAGGAAGCTGTCCCTGGAGTCTGATGATCTTAACAACATAGCAAAGAAATAGTTCATATAGATAACAGCTGCATTACAAAATAGAAAATCAATTTCTGTCATTTTATTATTATAAGGGCCAAGAAAGATAGTGAGTAAAATACTAACACAAAAAGATGTAATTCAAAACTGGTGATGGAGTAGGAGAGTAACTTCCTGAGTGGTCTGGAAAAGGAGATCCTGGGACTGGGGCGTTGGTCCTGTGCTAGAGCCCTTACCTAACGCGTATCAGATCCTGGGGTTTGGGGTGTGGTTCTGTGGTAGAGCCCTAACCGAGCACGTACCAGACCGTGAGTTTGATCCCCAGCACTGGGGAAGAAAATACTAAGGAAACATGCAAAGAAACCTTGCACACGTGAAGCGAGTGCTGTCTGCCAAGCTACCTCCCACCCTTTGAGTTTGAGCCCTTGTGTGGATTATACACACAGGCTTCCATACCCAGCATGGATTTTTTTTTCCTAAATATTTATTTATTATGTATACAATATTCTGTCTGTGTGTATGCCTGAAGGCCAGAAGAGGGCGCCAGACGTCCCAACAGATGGTTGTGAGCCACCATGTGGTTGCTGGGAATTGAACTCAGGACCCCCGGAAGAGCAGGCAATGCTCTCAACCACTGAGCCATCTCTCCAGCCCCGGATTTTTTTTTTTTAATAATAGTAAAAGTTAAATGAAAAGATAGTTTTCCCCCAGAACATGCATAAAATATTACCTGAAGTTTTAGTTTTTATTTTAAGAGAGGATATGTGTATAGCTTTGTATACTGGGAGAAAAATGCCAGGAGAAAATGTATCAGAAGGTTATCTCTAGGTGGTGGGATTACAGGATTTTCTCTCCATTAATACTTTTCAGCATTTTAAGTTTTTTATGGTCAGTATAGTTACACCTATGTACCGGAAAAAATATTAAGGATATTTTTTGTTTTTACTATTGAAGCTAAAAGATATGTAGAAATATATATCCTAACAATTATGATATTCTATAAAACATGTTATTTAATTTATTTGGTTGGTTTTGGTTTTTGTTTTTTATTTTTTTACTTGAAAAATGTGTCCTGAAGAACATGCTTGTTGATCTCTCATTCTTTTTAGGCTTCATTGGTTTTCTATGGAATGATTGTATCTTTTATTTACCCATTCTGTTAATGGAGAGCTAGATCTTTTTTGTTTGGTTGGTTTTTCTATTACAAGCAGTGCTGTAGTTACTTTTAACATATACCTTAGTATACACTGCATATATCTTTTCATGCTACATCAAAAGGGTATTTTTATTATGTAAATAAAACAGATTGCCATGAAGTTCCATTTTTTATTTATTTTTTTTTTTTGAAGTTCCATTTCTTAACCAGGTATTGCATACCTGTGATTTTAGCCCTCTGAGCTAAGGCTGGAGGCTACAGGTTAAAGGATATATGAGACCCCCTCCTCAAAACAGACACCAAAAAGAAGCTCCCTGTCTTTATGAAGCTCTTCGATTTGAGAGCTGTGCATTTTGCTACAGGTCGGGCCCTAGGAGCTCTTCCTGTCTGTAATGGCTGCTCCTTAAGAAATACGTGTGACTTCTTAAAAAGGTGTAAGAGGAGCAAAGGAGGTGGCTCAGGAGTTAAGAGCACTAGTTCAGTCACTCACATGATGGCCCGGAGCCTTCAGGAACTCTGGTTCCAAGGGAGACATCCATCCCCTTCTGTTCTCCTTGGGCACTGCAGGCAAATATGTATGCAGGTAAAACATCCATGCAATAAGTATAAATAAATAAACCAAATAAATATTTTTTAAAAAACTAGAATGTGTGAGAGCCTGGGGGCAACAGTGTTTGAAGTTTCGTATCTTCTTTTTTTTTTTTTTTCCTTCCCAGACAGGGTCTTTTTATGTATCCTTGGCTGTCCTGAAACTCACTTTAAAGACCAGGCTGGCTTCAAACTCACAGAGATCTGCCAGCCTCTGCCTCCCAAGTGCTGGGATCAAAGGCATGTGCCACCACACCCAGCTTTCTTACCTTCTTAACAAAGTATCAGTGGGGTTTTTTGTTTGTTTTTGTTTTTTGGGTTTTTTGTTTGTTTTTTGGTTTGGAGATTTATCATTTGGTTTCATTATCATTCCAGGTGCCCCAGAAGAAAAGCCTACTTTAACTTTAAGAGTAGCTATTAAAAAATCCATTCCCTGATGAAAGCATATATTTTGAAGACTTAGCATCCCCTTGTTCTTCAGGTGATACATATGACGGCTGCTCCACTTCCCAAGTGTGAGAGATATAATGTGTGCAGACGTTTTTAATTTGTTAGATGTAGAACAAGAAACAAGCATCATTAGACCAGAAGTAGACAGGACTCCATCTTGCCTTATCTGCTTCAGATCCTGTTGTCGCCTCGCTGGCTCAGGACATCTTCAAGGAGCTGTCGCAGATTGAAGCCTGTCAAGGCCCAATGCAGATGAGGCTGATCCCCACTCTGGTCAGCATAATGCAGGCCCCAGCAGACAAGATCCCTGCGGGGCTCTGTGCGGTAAGTTGTTACAAGATCTGTGAGTGAGAGAAGGAAAGAGTGAGAACTCTGCCAAGTGCCACCCACAGATCCCACCTATGGACAGGAAGTCAGTAAGAGCATTGGAGACTTGGGATGTTATTTTATAATGAGCTACTTCGTCCATGAGGACAGGAGTAAACCCTGTCTCGGAAAACCAAAAGGGAGTGAGAATATGTGTGTGTTCTGAGACTAGCTCACAGACACCTGCCTGCCTCTCTTTCTCCCCAATGATGGGATTACAGGCATGCATCACTGGTAGCTGTTCCCCCAATGCATGTGTGTCTATGTATGCATGTGGGGGCAGGAGGACAATCTCTGGTGTCAGTCACACAATCTCCCTCCTTTGAAACAAGATCTCTCAACTTGAGACTTGCTAAGTAAGGTATGCTGATTGGCCAGCAAGCACCAGGGAACCTCCTTCTCTGCCTCCCCAGCACTAGGATTACAAGCACCCATGCCACCACACCTGCCTTTTTCCACAGATCCTGGGGTTGAAGTCAGTTCTTTATGTGACAAGAGAAATGCTTTACCAGCTGAAACATCCCCCTAACTGCTGTCAAATACCACCCACCTCATGGCTAGTAAACTATGAACACTATAATGACACTGAGTTCCAACTACCTAACAGGCATCTTGGCTGCTAGGTTCCTCCCACCCCAAAAGTAATTTGACTTTTCTTCTTTCAGACAGCCATTGATATCCTGACCACAGTAGTTCGAAATACAAAGCCTCCCCTTTCCCAGCTCCTTATCTGTCAAGCCTTCCCTGCTGTGGCACAATGCACCCTTCACACGGATGATAATGCCACCATGCAGGTATGTGAGACTTGGAAATTAGAGAGAAAACAGTTTCCCAGCCATAGCCATATAGTAGGCTGGAAAAAAAGTGACGTGTGATTATGTTTTTGAAATAAATTTTCTTGATTCCAAATTTAGTTAGAGAAGCCTGGTTTTCTCTAAGGTCTGCTACAGCCTTAAGAAGTGTGAAATGCCAGATATCTGGCTGACTGTGCTTGGCTATTGATGCTATAGAGGAGCTTAGGTGTCAGGCTTGGTGCCTTGGAACTCTTCTGAAGATTCTGTTGATACAGTCAACAAAGCGATAGACCTGGTGAAGGATGTGTTAGCTGTTTTTCAGGTCTTTATAGTATAGGAACATGATAGTAGAAACTGGTCAGATTGGAAATTTCTAGGCAAACAGTGATTTGTGTGAGATCTCATGAAAACCTTTAATACTCCTGATTATTACTATATCTAAGAGGTTTTTTTAACTACCAAAGATAAATCTTTATAGTTAAACCTCAGCTTGCTTGGTGACAGGCCCTTGTACTGAGAAGTAGGCAGTTTTGAGATAGCTGGTTGGGTAAAGGAAGGATTGTATTAGTGCCTGTCTTTATCTGTAACAATAAATTCCTGTATCTAGTGTTAGGGGCCACATGAACCCGATAGGCTTACTGCTCCCATGAGGCATAGACCTCTGTCAGTAACAGTCTGGGGGCCTCCCTGCATCTATTCCTCTCACTTCTGTTTCCACAGAATGGTGGAGAGTGCTTGCGGGCCTATGTATCGGTGACACTGGAACAGGTAGCCCAGTGGCATGATGAGCAAGGCCACAATGGACTATGGTATGTGATGCAAGTGGTGAGCCAGCTTCTGGACCCACGAACTTCCGAGTTCACTGCAGCCTTTGTGGGCCGTCTGGTCTCCACTCTCATCTCAAAGGCAGGGCGGGAGCTTGGGGAGAATCTGGACCAGATTCTTCGTGCCATCCTCAGTAAGATGCAGCAGGCAGAGACACTCAGTGTCATGCAGGTAAGAGCAGTGGGGTACTAGGCTTTTGTCTGCATGGGTGACAGAGAATCAATTGATTATATGGGCCCTGAATTGTTTGACTCTCTCACTATTCTTGTAGAACAATTAAACAAAATTGGATCTGCTCTGGCCCAAGAAACATGAGCAAAGACAGCCTCATGTTCTGTCCTGTGAATAGACTCTGCTGTATATAAAAAAATATTTTATGTGTATGAGAGACATTGCGTGAGAGAGAGAGAGAGAGAGAGAGAGAGAGAGAGAGAGAGAGAGAGAGAGAGAGAGAACACATACATACATATACGCACACAAGTATATGGAGTCCAGTCCTTTGGAATTAGAATTATAAATGGTTGTGGATACTAGGAACCGAACCCAGCTCCTCGACAAAAACAATGGTGTCATTAACCACTGACCCATTTCTCCAGCCCGAACTATTTCTTTTTCTTCTTTTTTTAATGGTCTCTTTGTATAGCTCTGGCTAGTCCAGAATTCTCTATGTAGACCAGGGTGGCCTCTCAAATTCAGTGATCTGCCTGCCTCTGCTTCCTGAGTACTGGGATCAAAAGTGTGCACCACCATGCCCAGCCCCAGACTCTTGTTTCTTTACTGGCTGGGCTATTCCCTCTCCTCCTGTGTCTATGGAATCTGTTTTCCTGAAACAGACACCCTCTTGTTCTCTTCTAGTCTCTGATCATGGTGTTTGCTCATCTGGTGCACACTCAGCTGGAACCTCTGTTGGAGTTCTTGTGTAGCCTCCCAGGACCTACTGGCAAACCTGCCCTGGAGTTTGTGATGGCCGAGTGGACAAGCCGGCAGCATCTATTTTATGGACAGTACGAAGGCAAAGTTAGGTAGGGCCCTATCTTTCTGCTCTGAGCTTTCGGCTTCTACTCATATTTAAATTTTTCTTCCCTTGATTTTTGTTTGTCACGCCAAGCTGTCTCTGTGGTCTCCTTTCTTTCTTTCATGATAACCCTTATATTTGAATATCTTTATGGTGACATTCCCAATAAAACAATCAGCAGAGTAGAATGTGTATTTCTGATTTCTGCTAAGAGCTTCCTCTGGAAAAGACTCTGCCTGGTTAAGTACAGATAGTGGCTTATTCGCCTTTATAAACCAAGCCTTTGCTTTATAACTCTGTAGCCTAGACTTCTCTCTTTGATTTTCTGGTGCTGGGAACCAAACCCAGGGTCTTGAATTTGCTACGCAAGGCTTCTACCACGTAGGTAAATCCCTAACCTCTCTTGCCTAGGATTATTCGATTGGGTCTCATTACCTACATTACCAAATTACCTCATTACTGTAGACAGCTATTGTGTGTGACTTGCTCACCCTAACCTTGTTCAAGCTGAGCGGATAACAGTAGACCACCTCATGGGCACCAAATCCTATTCTCAGCTGAGCGCTGCTACTCTCCTAATTAGTTGTGAAAAGAAGTTTCCCCATTAGAGGGAGGGTCTTCATCTTCTGAGAGTGAGCTCTGGATGGGAGCTGCCTTTCATTCTCTGGCTCTTCCCAGCTCTGTAGCACTGTGTAAACTGCTTCAGCATGGCATCAATGCAGATGACAAGCGGCTACAAGATATTCGTGTGAAGGGAGAGGAGATCTACAACATGGATGAAGGCATTCGTACCCGCTCCAAGTCAGCCAAAAGTGAGTAAAGCTTCCATTCTGCAGGGTTTTAAGAGTTTGGGGTAGGTCTGCATTTTTATTGGTGGGTTTCATAAAGAAGAAGCAGAAACCTAAGCACAAATAAATCAGAATGTATGGATCCTTCTTGTTGAAAACTGGGGCAAATAATCTTGGGGACAGTGCTCCCCAGCTTCCATTCTGGGGCTTAGCTCTGTTACTGTAGCAACTGATCTCTAATCCCAGAACTCTCTTACATCTCCTTATTTCTTAGCTGTTATATAAAACACCAGGCAGAATTAAATGTAAGTTATTCTTTGCTGGCTGAATGTAGTGAGAGACAGTGGCGATCATCTGAGAGGATATGAGAGGAACTGTAGGAAGGATGAGGTGCCCCAGTGACAGTCTGACTGGAGGTCTTTTCACTTCCTTCCTAGATCCAGAGCGGTGGACAAACATTCCTTTGTTGGTCAAGATCCTAAAGCTGATTATCAATGAACTCTCCAACGTCATGGAGGCCAATGCGGCTCGCCAGGCCACTACTGCTGAGTGGAGTCAAGGTGCACCAGGCTCTTACTTCCAGGAGACTTTAACCTGGAGGACCGAGTTACTTAATGTCATATGATCAATTAGGTTTATTAGGCACAGATTTAAAGGGTGTGACGGGGATGTTATTGAGAAGCTGCCCCATGTCTGGCACTGTCCGGGCTATATTAATTCTCACAAAGGTTGAAGGTGGGGGCATCTAGGAAGCAAGCTGCCTCCCCTAACCCTTCTTTGAAGCTTTAGTTCTTCTGTTAACTCATTGGGAAGGTTTGGCCATCTTTGGTTCTTTCACATTGGAGAGGATGGTAAACTACGCTGTAGAAACCCTTGGCCCTTCTGTTTTGTCCTGTTAAGATTTGGGAGGGAAAATGCATGACTGTTTCATCTGCTTTTCATCTTCAAGTAGATGACTCCAATGATATGTGGGAGGACCAGGAGGAAGAGGAAGAAGAGGAGGAGGATGGTTTAGCTGGCCAGCTTTTATCTGACATCCTTGCTACAAGTAAATATGGTAAGCCATTTGAGAAAAGACAGGACAATATGGTAAATAACCTTTTCTGTGCACACTGGTGCCAAGAGTGGATTACCTGAGCAAGAGGAGATATGGGCTTACAAGGGGTGTTTCTTGGGCTTTTGCCCCTCTGCCTTAGCCATGGGGTGGTAAATGCCACCAAAGGCCTGATGATGGGCCTCTGTCCTGACTCACCCTGTGTTGGCTATGTCTAACAGAGGAGGACTACTATGAAGATGATGAAGAAGAGGACCCTGACGCCCTGAAGGACCCTCTCTATCAGATTGATCTGCAGGTGAGGATGTCTGTAGATGTCTTACAAGTGACAATGCGTTTCAAGCCATGGAAACAAGATATGGCTTCAAAACCATTCACAGTTCTTCATGAGAACTACAAGAAAGTGAAGGTGGAGTTGCTGTCTGCATGCTCGAGGCCATGGGTGGAGAGAGGTGCTGGGGTTTTCATCCAGTATTCTGCACCAGCTGTGATGCATCTTCTGAGGTTGCCTTGTGAAAGTTCTCTGGGTGAAATCGGAGATAGAGCTTTGAAAATGATTTTGGTTCCCTGTGGCATTCTGTCCTTGGGTTGTATGTTAGATCCAAGAATAGAAACCTACCCCTTAGGAAGCTGGCATCTGTATGAAAGCCAGCATTCCTGTTCCACTTGCTGGTGGTCCTTACCCTGCTGCACACTGTTGGCCCTGGGAACCTGTAGTAATGCCACTGTCATTCTTCCTCCAGGCATATCTCACCGACTTCCTTTGCCAGTTTGCTCAGCAGCCCTGTTACATTATGTTTTCGTGCCACCTTAATGACAACGAGAGGCGGGTTCTGCAGACCATCGGCATCTAAAAAGGGGAGTCGTCAACCCGTGTTCCCTCTCCTGGCCCAGCCACAGACCATTCTACAGCCCTCGCTGGTCTTGAGATGCACTTTTTCTCAGTCTGCAGTGGCTTCCTGGCCTATGGCCTCAACAGTGACACTGGGGACTCAGTCCTTGCTCACCAAGGCTAGCATTTGAAAATGCTAAAACAAAGGACATTTCTCAAAGTCCTGTGAAGATACCCCAAATCTGAAACTGTTTTATTCCCTAGCTGCCACCTCCATTCCGAGCATCTTTTGTTGGCCAGACCAGAAACATTGATATCCAGAAGGATTATGGCTTCCTGGTAATTTTGCCCCACATCAGGAGCACAGGAAGTCACTACCATTTATATTCAGAAACATACCTGTTTGTTTTCATAGGATATCTGATGTGTTCAGATAGGAGTCCCTTGAGAAATCATTATGCTTTCTACCCTCAGCCCCTGATGCTCTAGGTTCTTGGTAGGAACAAGCTGGAGCAGCCACATACTGAGCCCTTTCCAGTAACCTCCTTCCATGCTTCCCTCATGCAACACTAAGGCTCCTCTGTCAAAGGAGCCATCTTCCCATCTCTGCTTCATTGCATGACACAGCCCCTCCCCCCAGGCTGTTTCTATATATACATGCACACACAAAATAAGCCAGACAGATGGTAACTTGTCTTTCTTTTTTAGGAAAAAAAATCAGGAAAAAGATTTTTATTTCTAAATCTGCCTGACCCATCTATATTTAATATGCCTCTTCTACACAGGCTCTGTGGTTACACAGAGCCTGATATGCAAAGGTTACCCCTATCCCTCAGGAATCCTCCAAAGTGGTTGAGTTGTAGCCCTCGAATTTGCAACATGTATTTTTCTAGGACAGTAAAGCAATCTTTACAAATGAATTTAGTCTGCATACTATAAGGTGTCTCAGCACCTCTGCCTTCTGTTTATTCCCTTTAGAAGGAAAGTAAAAACAGAAGAAAGCATTAGCAGAGCCTATTTTGGCATACTACTGTGATTTGGCAAAGAGCTCAAAAATCTTAGAGAACTGGTATTTTTCATTCAGATGTGTTTAAAGGTCAGTGGTACCGCATGTAGATAGCCCTGGGTGCAGTCCCTAGTACCGCAAAAGTAAGGGACATCCCTCAATGGGTTTTCCTTGTGTTAAGAATTGAGTGGGTGAAGATTAAGAAGAGCAGAGTAGTAACCCAGTGTTCCCTTTGTTTGATAGTGCTCGCATCTGGGACTCCATTTTTAATAGCCAGAGCTCTTTCTGTGGGTGATGCTCTAACAGAAAGAAAAGGGAATGTAGAGGTGACTTCTGAGCTTCATTCTTCAGCAGATAACAGTGTAACATTTCATCTAAAAGGCTTTTCATGGGACCTAAGGATGTGGCAGCTTAGTAATGTCTGTACCACCAGATATCCTTAGTGCTCAGCCTTGAGTTCAGAGGCATTCCGCTGAAGTTGCCACCTCCTCTGTAAGAACTTGAGAAGGTATGTATAGCTGTCTTCTGGATGACCATGTAGAGACCAGCATTGCCTCTGCCCCTGCTGGTTTTCCTCCTGAAGGTGGAGTCCCTGAAAAAAAAAAAAAAAAATGATGGCATACCTGCCCAGAAAACCACAGTAGGAATTTTGGAACCTTGTTCCATAGTTGACCTCAAAGCCAGTTGAATTTGGTGCTAAAACAGTAGACCATTCCACACAATTAAGTTGTCCAATGGTTTTGACATGTTAGAATGGTGCCAGGTTAGCAGCATTGCCCTGCTGAATTTGAGAAAGCTTGGAGACCTCCAGCAATATGCTGACAGTGATATGGGTTCCTTCTGAGACTGCTAATTAGAACGGTTCCTCTGTGTCTAGTGCCAAAATTAGTCCAGAGGGCTTCTCATCTGTTCTCATGCTTTACTTTTCATGGGAAGACTGAGCTCCTGCCTTAGGAGGCCATCCATGCCAACATACACTGGTTGGACATGGCGGGTCTTATGTCCCTTGATGAACAGATGCTTGTGTTTCAAAGCATTTACCTTCTGCAGCAGGTACACAATGAATTTCCTCATCCCATTGACTGTTCCTAAGAGCAGGACGAGACTTCCGTTGGTGACTTTTGGTGTGACATAGTTGAACTCTGGTTCCTATTTTGTCTCCTATGAGAGCCAACTTCATTTGGACAAAGGGTGGGGCTGACTGTTGGAAGACTAAGAAATGACCAGTGAGCTAATGAGAGGTGTGAGCTCCTGATGGTGACGGGTGAAACGCTAGAAGGCTGAAAAGTTCCAAGAAAGGAAGTTGATACTTCAAATCATTGACAGGGAAGCTTGAACTTAGAGCATATGGTTCAAAAGCATATGAATTCATGAGAAAAGAGGTTGCTGAGGCTGGGTTTTCATTGTGAGCTAAAGAGCCAGTAGTTCCACTAATGAAAACATCCTTAGGACCACGACCAGGCTGTGGTGGCTCACGCCCTTAATCCTAGCACTTGGGAGGCAGAGACAGAGGCGGATCTCTCTGAATTCGAGGCCAGCCTGGTCTACAAGAGCTAGTTCCAGGACAGGCTTCAAAGCGACAGAGAAACCCTGTCTCAAAAAACAACAAAAAAAACGACCTTAGGTTTGTTAGCCATGCTGAGCAGCCTGACAAGATCAGAGCACCGCCAGCTCAGCAACGTACAGTGAGTTCTTCCTGTGAAGGAATGTGAGGTGAGTGTTGGGTGCAGCGCTGGGCAGGTTGCTTACGCCTTACTCTTTCCAAGCAGTTGGAAACCATTTGCAAAAGATAACTGACCTGGACAACAAATGCTTGTCAAATCTTAGGTGACAGGAAGCCTCTCAGAAGGTGATCTGAGGATCCAAGTAGATCATCGAGTCATTATAAGAAAAGGACATTGGCAACAGTATTTTGATTAGAGTGCTGTGTCCCTCACTAAAAGTACTGGGTCTTCAGAGTTCAGAAAACTCACGTGTGGGCCTAAATTGTCTGTGATTCTGCTGGTTTTCCATCTCTGTCCCTGTCAGTGGTCCTGATTGATAACCGTACTCTGTAAAGGACAGCCAAGGACTAAACTTGAGGAAAAACAGTGATGTGGCTCAGAAGGCTGGACTCAACACAGTAAGGGACTGTCCAGTAAAAAGTGCTGCATTGTCCAGCCCACCAGGCAGACCTGTGTGCCTGAGTAAATAAATAATAAAAGATGGATTTCTGGCTCCTCTGTTTCCTGTCAGTTTCAGTGACTACTAAACTAGAGGCCAGTGCCTTAGGCTTTTCTCAAGAAGCTACTCTAGGGCTCAGCAAGGTGGTGTCCGCCTTTAATTCCTGAGGCAGAGACAGCTGAATCTCTGAGTTCAAGGTCAGCCTGGCCTACCTAGTGAGTTCCTATTCTGTAGCAAGGGTTACAAAATGAGCAGGGAAGCTGATAAGGAAATTGGAAACCAGTAACAAATAAGGCAAATGTTATGGGAAAAATAGGTTCTGTGTTCACTGTCACACACACACTCACCCTTCCCTGTCCCCCAATAAAGCTGGGCTGCTGGTAATGGGGAGTGAAGCTGAGTCAAATGGCACGGAGAAAGTGACCCTTCATAGAGCAGCGGAAAGGGCTGGCAGTTCTTGCTAAAACTTGAACACTGAAATGCTGGACAGGCTGAATGTATCTATGTGAACAGCCTCACACCTACTATCCTTGTAAATTGGGTCCTTTTCCTTACCCTTTCTGCACATTGAGTAAAGCGGAGATACTGAATGTTGCCTGCCAGCGTGAGATCACCATATCCAAGAAACCTGTTTTCTAGTTTCTCTTACTCTCCTATGCGCTTGCCAGGCAAACCAGGATAGGGTAGGGTATTCCAAAGGAGTGACTAAGATAAGATTGTCATGAAACAACATTTTAGTAGCTTTGTACGCACAATAAAATGTTAGCTTGAGCAGTGCACTGTAGAACACCTGTATTACTGGCACTCTGGAGACAGAAGCAGGCAGGCCAAGCAGAGGGTCAGAGGAGGCCCCCCCCTTTTTTTTTTTAAATCTAGTTACCTCACTGGTAGAACACATGATTAGCATTAAGTGTCCTACCCCCCACGTCAGCATCCAGACCAGGGTCCTACCCCCGTCGGCACCCAGACCAGGGTCCTACTCCCCACGTCGGCACCCAGACCATGGTTCTACCTCCCACGTGGGCGCCCAGACCAGGGTTCTACCCCCTACCTCAGCGCCCAGACCAGGGTTCTACTCCACACATCAGCACCCACCCAGGTAAGAAAAATTAAGGTACTGTGATTCCTGGGATCTTAGCCAGAAATAAAGCTGTAAAGATAAGTGAGCCAAATGGTGAAGGTTCCAACAAGGCCTGGTTCCTCTAGAGAAAAGGTGACCACCCAAGAGGGACTTAGAGGTGCTTTAGAGCCTGAGCTGATGGAGGAAGTGTGAGGTAAGGATGCCATCTGGCAGCAGGTTGAGGTGGAGGAGCTGCATATGTGCTAAGGTTAGAACAAGGGCAGAAGAGAAATCAGTTAAATGTTGGTGAGCATCAAGGCTGAATGACTGCTAAGGGAGAGAGTCCCAAAGGTGACAACTATCAAATGTGTTTTCTCAGTATTAGAGTTCCTCTGCATCAAAGAGGCCAAGCATTTAGCTGGTAGTCATGGCCGAAGCCCCTTCTCACACAGTGTCATACACTAGGTGGCAAAGTATTTACAAAGCATTGAGTAGTCGTATTCCAGAAGCAAGCAACCAATTGTTAATAAAATTCCAAAACTGGTGACTGATTTGCTTTTCTGTGAAGATGATGTAGATCAACACCAGCCAGCCAGTGATCTCAATTTTTTTTGTTTTGTTTTTAGATGATTACAAAGGTCTCTCATGCCTGTGTGGCAAATATGCAACGAGAAGGAAAACAGCTACTGGCCTGATTAGAAGGCCCGGGAAGCCCTTCAAGTCTTGGCATAACAATATAGCCGGAAAGGGGCCTGGACAGAGTGCCACCCTGTGAACCTGGGTTTTCCTGTTGTAAAATGGGGAGCAGATACCCAGCCCATGGGATGTGAGAAGAGTCCCATCCTAACCACTCCCCCACCCCCAGCACACACAGAGCAGGAGCTAGCTGGATTTGGCTCGCCTTGCCTGCTTCAAAATGATTGTGACTCAGTTCAACTTCACATACGCCACTGCTGTTGCTAAATCAAGGCCTGGGGAGCAGGATGGAAACGCAGTGGCCCCAGCACCCACCTGTCGCCCACTCTGTGGTTTTTCTGTGCGACAAATGATTGGTACATTGATTTGCTTTCGTTACACTTTTTCCCCACCTCTCATTCTCATAACATAAGTGGGTTCTTTGAGATTCATCACCTTAGGGGGTTTTGCAGGGTGACAGACCACTGCCTGAGGATAGCTGCACTTCTGGATCCACAGGAAAAAGCTCAGCTAAAGGCAGATCCTGGGATCCTAGAGGAAGGTTCCTGGAGCCTGCTGGTCCTGGCTGAGTGCCTGGTGAAGGGAGAACTTTGGAGAAGGCTGCATGGGATACCTGAAGAGCTCTCTACCTAGGGTATGTCACAGGCCAGAACTGCATAGATGAACTTATGTTAAAGCCAGTGTTATAGGCCTGGCATGCTTACCCTGGAGTTTTTTGTACTATATGAGGCCCACGACTTCTTCATGACCCTGGAAGGAAAGTTAACCCGTAACATACTAAATTCTCCCACTAGATGTAGGATAGACTAGATGGGAGGTAGAGGCAGGTGGATCTCAGAGTTTAAGGACAGCCAGGGGTACACAGAGAAACCTATCTCGAACAAAACAACAAATTATGTTCATACCTGACTTTGTAGTTGCAGCTCCTTTTTTGTGCTTGCAGGAAGGTTAACCAGTGTGAGGGTGACCAGAACCCTTTGCATGACCCTAAGATCTCCAGACCAGATAAAAGACAGGATGGACTGGTATCTCTGATGAACTCTGGCTTTAGGGTTCTAGTGGGTCGGACTGTACCATATCTTCCCACACGAGGGAACCAAGACCAGGGGGATCAGGTGACTTGGAGCTGGCAGTCGACAGAACAAGACTTACACAGAGTTTATGGTTCACAGCATGGGCTCTGGAGTCAGGCTAGATTCTTGAGTTCTGGCAAGGCCACTTACCAGCTTTGGTAATTTGGGGCAAGCTTTATTAAATTTTCTGTCTACGCTTCCAAATCCACAGAACAGGTCCATTGGTATCTGTTTTACAGAGTGATTGTAAGAATCAAATAAAATCAGAGCGATACCAAGCATTTTGTAGTGAGGCTTACAGTATTAGATTTAGCTCATTAGTGTGGTCTTGAATCTAATGGAATCATCACATAAACCTGCCCCAGGAGAGTGGATCCTGTGCATTCAAATTCAACAGTTCCTGGCTGTGCTGGGACGGCTGAAAACAAACCCCAGCTGGAGTGCTGAATACTGAGGTCCCGAGCCCTTCCCAGGAGGGGCCAGACAGGAAAGCTGTAAACAGCGTTCGCCATACACTCGCGGATCTCAAAATAACACTTGTCTGCTCCCACTCTGCCCAGCTGGCAGAGCTGCAGGCTGAGTAAAGTGCCATTTAAAGATAACCTGGCACTCTCCGGACGCCCTACTGCCAGGGCCAGCTCCTAAGGCCAGACTGAGGCTGCCTGAGAAGGTGGTTGCTCACAACCCAAGCCCATGCACCCACTGCCTTCATCCTGCAGCCTGGAGTCCACAAACTGCCTAAGCTCTGCTCCAGTTCTTGAGCACACTGCAGACAAGCAGGAGCCCGGCCTTCCGAGACACACTCCTAAAAAGAGTCTCTAGGGGACGAGCATCGCTTTCTAGATGACACACTACACTGGTCACCTACCCTTGACCTTCCCCCACCACCACCACCAAAGGTGCCCAGTACCACAAGAACAAATATAGAGGACAGTATCTTACAGCAAGAAACATAATTGATACACTTGCTTATACTGAAGGAATGGGCGCTAGAAGAGACTTGAGTTCCTTCAGTTCCCAGTTCAACCATGACCTTGGCCGTGTTCCTAGTGCTTTTCTGGGCCTTTCTCTTCCTTGCTGTGACCTTCAAGGAGCATATCGCCAGTTCTTGAGAGGCTATGACATTAAATCACAGTTAAGGGCACAGGGTACATGGTCAGGTAGCTGGAAGTATTCTAGAAAGGAGCACAGACTATTTGGAGAAGCCTGGACTGGACTGAAGTGTTGTAGGTGGCTGCTTATTCGTCCCTGTCACCCAGCCCTGAAATAACCACACAGAAACTGTATTTAAATCACTGCTTGGCCCATTAGCTCTAGCTGCTTATTCGCTAACTCATATCTTAATTTAACCCATTTCTATTAATATGTGTATCGCCACATGGCTGTGGCTTACCAGGTAAAGTTCCAATGTCCATCTCTGGTGGGGCTACATGGCTTCTCTCTCACTCCACCTCCTTTTTCCCAGCATTCAGTTTAGTTTTTCCCGCCTAGCTCTGCTCTACCCCATCAACAGGTCGAGGCAGTTTCTTTATCAGCCAGTGGTATTCACAGCATACAGAGGGGAATCCCACATCAATGAAGCCTAGAGTCAATGGCTCTGAAGCCCCAGGTCACAGGCTTGGTCTAGTAGTTCTCCCACTTCCCCCACTCCTGATATCCTGACTACCTTTTCACTCCATGCATGTGACTGCTAGAGATGAGGCTGGGCATCCATGTTTTTATGCCAAGCACAGTCAAGGAGGAACAGGGTTGAATCTCAAGGGTAGGGGCTTTGAAGTCACAGAAGACCAGCTTCACATCTCAGCAGTGTTAGCTGAGAGAATTAGCTTCTTCCAGTTCAGTTTCTTTCTTTTAAAAAATTATTTATGTTTTATGTGTATTGGTGTTTTCCCTGTATGTGTGAGGGGTTGGATCCTAGAGTTACAGGTTTGAGCTGCCATGTGGGTGCCATGTGGGTGCTCTCAACCACCGAGCCATCTCTCCAGCCCCTCAGCTCAGTTGATCTGTACAGTGGAATGAGCTCATTTGCAATATTAGTGCCTAATGCCTCAACCACATTCACCCTGCAAGCCTCTTACTGGCAAAGCCTCATTTTGTCTCATCTAGTCACAGATTAGGATCCCGGAGAGACTGACTTGGTGAGAGGATGATGTTCCTGCATCCCTTTACTTGAAGATTAAGGAAGACTTGGGATTTGGATAGCTCCTTCCAGGGTCCCCAATCTTCACACAGTCCTCAGTCCTTGCTCCGTGGCCTCTCAGGACTCAGGTCCATAGCTCATCCTAACTATTCATGTCAGTGCTCCAACATCCCTTGCTAAGAAGTTCCTGTTGAGAGGTGGCAAGTATTGTGCTTACGCCAGTACTCAGAAGCCTGAAGCATAATGGTTGAAGCTTAGGAGTTTGAGGCAAGGCCTGCCTGTGTCTGTCTGTCTGTGTGTGCATGTGTGTTCCGACCTGCATGGGCACACTAGTCCCTGAATCCTTCCTAGAATTTTGCAAACAGAAAACCACTGATGTAGCTATGCATGGTGGCACATGCCTTTATTCCCAGCACTCAGGAGGCAGAAGCAGCTATATCTCTGTGATTTAGGGGCAATCCTGGTCTACATAGCAAGCTCCAGGCCAAGGCTACATATGAGACCTTGTCTCAAAAAAAAAGAAGGAAAAAAAATTGGGGCAGTGAGGATCAGTTGATAAGATCTGAGTTAAATCCCTGGATCCTATGTGATGCAAGGAGATAAGCAAATTCTTATACTTTGTCCTCTGACCTCATGTCTGTTCCCACACGCTAATAAATAAAAGTAATGATGTTTTTTAAAAAAGAAAGAAACTAAAGATATCAAATAATGCAGAGACAGGTGATGTGCGATCAAAAGCACACATCCAGAAGAGAACAAGAGAATCAACTTCAAACAGGAAGAATGGCTCTTTGCTGAGCACCTATTGCCAAAACTTGGTGACAATGGCCCTTGCATGCATGGAGCTCATGGTAGGAAGAAGAAGGACAGCAAAGTGCTGGCGTAAGTGGCAATGAGTCAGGAAACATCCTTGGCAGTGGTTTTGATGACTGCCCAATTTTAGTACACATTCTGGCCCACCTATCAGTCAGTGGCTGACAGCTTCCTGGGGCAGGGGCATGCTCCTCCTCCTCCCTGTCCTGGAAAGATATGCCACCACCCACTAAGACCCCCTTTAGGGCTACCCTCCCTCTGTGATTTCCCTTTCCCTAACTCACCTATTCGGCTTTCTCTCCATGACCTCCAGTCCCTCATCCAGAGCGCCGGAAACATTTTCTGTCAGCTGTCGTCAGCTCCAAGTCAAGATCCACCCATTTAGAAATCATGGGTCCTTCTGTCTTCTCTCCCATTTACTATGTTGCCTTAAAGAAACCTTGAACATATCGGAGTCTCTGTTGGTAAGATGATGTTGATAAAAGATATATTTACCAACCTCGCTTAGCTAGTGGAGTTGTGCAAAGATTCTGTTGAGGTAGCTGCCCAAGCGTTGGAGCACCTTGTGGCATGGGCTGCAGAGATGACTCAGTGGTTAAGAGCACTTGGAGATGCTCTTGCCAAGGACCCAGGTTTGGTTCCCAGCACCTACATAATGGTTCACAATGGTCTGTAACTCAGGAGTATCAGGTGTTCTCATCTGGCCTCTGAGGGCACCAGACGTGCACATACACATGAAAAAAAAAATGTTTGAAGTGTACATGGCAGGAGACTGTGGTAGCTGTTATTCAGCTTCACTCGATTGGTAATGCTGGTCAGAGTAATGCGCGCAGAGCAAGCCACGGTCATGGCACTCTATAATGTCCTGTCCAGCTGCAGTGAACATAGGCTTAGACACTTGTGTCCCCTCTTCAGCTACCAGACTGCTGGAAGAATGGACCCCAAGAAATTTGAATTTTCCCAGAAATCTCCAACTGGGTGAGGAGTTGGTGAAGGCGGGGGGGGGGGGGGCATCCAGAGGAGGCACTTGTCTCGTGGTGAAAGGTTTACAATTTGGCACATTACCTTGCAGGAAAAACTGAGAATGGAGACAGACGGGCAGCAGAACCACCCCTTGCCTGGACCTCTAAGTTAGGCAAATATCTTGCTCATTATTTAAACTTTACCCTCATTTGAGGACCCCCCCCAAGATGGACTTGGAAAATGGCTCTCAACCTGGGTTACGATCCCTTCAGGTTTAAGACAATCCTTGCATGAAGGTCACTTAAGACCATCAGGAGTAGGACAGTGGTGGTGCACGACTTTAATTCCAGCATTAATGGCAGAGGCAGGTGGATCTCTTTGAGGCCAGCCTGGTCTACAGAGTGAGCAGAGTAAGTTCCAGGACAGCCAGGGCTACACAGAGAAACCCTATCTCGAAAAACAAAACACATCAGAAAACACAGATATTTATGTCATGATAATAACAGTAGCAAAATTACAGTTATGAAGTAGCAACAAAAATAATTTAATGGTTGGGGGTCCCCGCAACATGATGAACCATATTAAAGGGTTGCAGCATTAAGAAAGGCTGAGAAGGGGAGGGGGAGGGAAAGGGGAGGCAGAGGTGGGGAAGAGACAGAAATCTTTAATAAATTAAAAAAAATAAAGTACCACAGCAAAAAAAAATACTAAAAATAAAAAAAAAAAAGGCTGAGAATCACTGGGCTCAGGGGTGGAGAGGTAACACTGGATCTCCTTGTCCCTCTTCCAATGTGACATATTGAATAAATCTCCTGGTTCTGTTTTTCATTGTTACTTTGGTTCTTTTCATTGACTTTTTGAGGATGGGTAGCTAAGCCTGGTTTGTTGGCGCATAGGCCATGACCTCTAAGTGCTGGAGCAACTCTCAGTGGGTTTGTAAAGGTAGATCAGCTTTTCCTACCCTGACACCCTCCACCTGTAATTAGCCTGCGTTGGTTCTGATAGCTAATGGAGTATTTTTGCAAGCTGGCTCCACGAAGTAAAAGGTTTCCACTGTAAAGTGTTTAACAGGATGGGTCCCGGTCCCAAGTGGCTCGGGCCATCCCTACTGGTGAGGAGTGAGGCTCCAGATGGAGAGCTGTCCATTCAGAGGGGGAAGGAGCCATCTCAGGGAGCCAGTGCAGCTGCCAGGGCCCAGGCCTGTGGGCACCGACAGGGACAAAGCCGCTCTGAACTTTCTCTCAATGGGTGCCTGTTTCTAGGAATGGGGGCAGGGTGACTCTGCCCCTCTCCTCCCCCTGCAGGACATCCAAGACTGGACACTACAGCAAAGGAGATCCCACACAAGGAAAGGTGCGGCCCATGCCCCTCCAGGGTTGGTCCATGAGCTGGACATTAGGAGGTGGCACCAGGATCAGTTTCTGGGGTCTGGGATAATGATTGGTCTCAGGAGAGGGGCGGGCGCAGGGCACAGCAGAGCCTCCCTGACCGCAGTGCCCAGCTGTTGGCGGTGCCCTTAAGGGCTCAGACTGAAGGAGTCATTGCACTGTCGGGGACAGGGAGAGCAGAGCTGTTTCCTGGGGTGAGGGGCGCCCAACTGGTACTGAGGCTGGGTGGGCGTCGCTGGTGGGCAGACCCCTGGGCGGGGCCTGGGCAGGGTTACTGCGGGCGGGGCGTTAGTCCCGCCCCGAGGAGGCGGGAGAGAAGCCAGAGCCTGTCCGCGGGCTGGGCGGTGCTGCAGCTCCCGCCGGCCGGCTTCGTCCAGCTTTGTCCTGCGGCCCCTTTTTCAGGCCGTCCTGGCCGCGCCCAGCCCCCTCCTGCCATGCCGCCCGCGGTGTCCCGCGGGGCCGTGCCGTTGGCTGCCGTCGTCCTGCTGGTGCTGGGGACTCCTCTGGGTAAGGGATGGGGAGCCACACGGGATGAGTGAGGTGGGGCGGGATCGGGGAGGGGTTAAAGGGATCGGGCTGTGTCCCTGGAGACTATCCTCGGGTTGTCCTCAGGCTGTCCACGCGCCCCAGACGCTTCAGGAACAGGAAGAAAGGGCGCTGGGAGGTCAGGTAGTGGGAACCTAACCCCAGGCGCGGGGTTCAGCTTCAGGAAGAGGGGGGTTTCTAGAGTTTCGAGGCCGAGCCCCTCAGGGTGGAAACAAAAGTGAGCATTCAGCTTCCTAAGGCAGTGGGGTTGAGGGTGGCCAGAACTAAATTGGACTGGTGTCCACTGGGCACCCAAACCCCTGCCCGCAGCGCTAGCGAATGAAGACTGCTTGTGGTATCTGGATCGGAATGGCTCCTGGCATCCGGGATTTGACTGCGAGTTCTTCACCTTCTGCTGCGGGACCTGCTACCAGCGGTACTGCTGCAGGGACCTGACCTTACTCATCACCGAGAGACAGCAGAAACACTGCCTGGCCTTCAGGTGGGCTGTGGACTCCCAGGCCACCCTCTCTCGAGGCCTCCCGCTGCCTCCAGTACCCACCTCCACATTCTTAGCTGAAGGAGTCACCAAGACTCCAAATGGTGACAGAGAGCTGGTTGGTTGGTGTTAGTTACCATGGGCTTGCCTGGGCTGTTTTCAGAAGCTCCCTGTATCCTGGCAGATCCTGGGAGGGAGTGTACCGGGTTAATACTCAAACTGCAGAGCGGCTTTGTAGACGCTCTGGCAAGAGGGCAGGAAGAAGACTTGGGTTTGGGTCCCAGGCCAGCTTCTTACTAGCAGTGTGATTTTTCCGAGACACTTGTCCTCTATGGATCAGTTACCTTTTAAAGAATATGGAAGTTGTTATCCAGCCCTGGTGCCTCACACCTATAATCCCAGCACTCAGGTGGCTGAGGCAGGAGGATCAACGTGAGTTCCAGACCAGTCTGGGCTACAAAGTGAAGCTGTCTCAAAAAACAGATAAACAAAAACAGAGTTGCCCAAATTAAAGGTTTTGTTACCCTCCCGTCCCATCCCCCCCACCTGACCCAGCTCTGTGTTGAGGCTGGGTTTAGGTCCTTATTACTGTCAACATTGCTTCTGTTAAGTGACACTCCTAGCCCCCAAATTAGTGGTTTCAAACTTTTTTAAGGGAGCTGCAAACATATAAAACAGATATAAGGGGAAATGTCAAGTGAGATTTGATAATAATGACCCTACGTTATTTCAAAGGCTCCTTTGAGGCCAACACATTTTAAACCTAACCACTTAATGTGTAGATGTGAAACCAGGAGTAGGTGGGCACACTACAAATCCCAGCATGCTTCACACTAGCCAGCCAGAGAGCGTAGCCTCCTGGGAAGTAGAGGTCTCAACTCTACTAACAAGGTGGGCAGAATTAATCTCGCAAGGAACCCCAAGCCTTAGCATGCTGTGGCTGCCTGCTGGCCAGGAGTTGGCGCCAGCACAGTGAGGACTTCCTTCTGAGTGTTGGAAGGTGAGAGGACCTGTTTTTTGTCTAAAGTCCCAAGACCATAGCAGGCATCGCCTCTGCTGTAATCCTCTTTGTCGCTGTGGTTGCCACCACCATCTGCTGCTTCCTCTGTTCCTGTTGCTACCTATACCGAAGGCGCCAGCAGCTCCAGAGTCCATTCGAAGGTATGCACAGCACCAGGCAAGGGGAGCCTGAGATGGGCTGGGCTAATTGCTGCCGAGGGCACCAAAGGGATCGAGGATTGGTGAATTCTCTAGTAGTGAGTGTTTCTGGGTGCCTGCACATGCCACCCAGAAACGTGTGCAAGTGGGCACTGGCCCGTGTCCGGGAACGTATGGGGACACGTGTGCTCTTGTGTGTGCATGCACATGCGCATTCAGTCGTTCACAGGAGGGTACCTGTTGATGGTAAGTGGGCAGCAGGTATAAGCATGCCTGTGGCTGGGTATATGGGGTGGGGTCTGTGGTAGTGGACATTAACTGGGTGCGTTCCAGTACTTTGGATGTGTGTTTGAGTGTTGCATGTAACTGCTCAAGCCTGATAAACATGGAAACAGTGGCACCATATGGGAGATGAGTGTGGGAGGGGAGGACTGGAGGAGGACCCTCTTAGTGACAGCTGTGCTGTGTTACAAGACACCAGCCTCTGGAGCTGCCCATTTTCTACCCAACGGGGACATTCCCCATGCTAGACTCTGCCTTCTGATGGCTCTGAAACCTGCCCAGGGGAACAAACTTGGTCAACACAGACTGACCCGCATAGCCTCATACATAGCTCTCTATTCAGCTCTGGGCAAGCAAGCTTTGGGAGGCAGAGGCCACAACTGGTTACCTAGAAGCCTGCCGGGCAGTTGCCAGGGTGCTTACCTTAGTTTCCTGGACAGGAGGAGGTTTCCATGGGAGCTGGGTGTTTAAAATGCTGATTCTTGTCTCTCTTCTAGGCCAGGAGATTCCGATGACAGGCATCCCAATGCAGCCAGTATACCAATACCCTCCGGACCCCAAAGCTGGTCCTGTACCTCCGCAGCCTGGTTTCATGTACCCACCTAGTGGTCCTGCTCCCCAGTATCCTCTCTACCCAGCTGGGCCCCCAATCTACAACCCTGCAGGTAAGTGTACAGCCTGGAATCCTTGTTCCTCTTGTTCCCACCCACCCTTGCTCAAGGACCTTCTTCCACCCCCTCCCCTCCCCGGAGCTGAGGACCGAACCCAGGGCCTTGCGCTAAGCGCTCTACCACTGAGCTAAATCCCCAACCTCATCTCCAGGACCTTACCTTCCTCTCTCACTGCTAACCCTTTCCCAGGCTCCTTCCATTTCTCCTTGGAAACTTGTAGGATTTTCTTCCCATGGAACCTGCACACCATGGGGGGGGGTACTCCTGTGCCCCACTGACCCTCATCCTGTCTCCTTGGTTTTCAGCTCCTCCCCCCTATATGCCACCACAGCCCTCTTACCCAGGAGCCTGAAGAAACAGCTGTGGCTCTGCTGTCCCTTCCATGATGCCGTTTTTTTTGGGAGATTCCCCATTCTGTACCTGCATCCAGCCCTGGGGGTGGGCATGGGTCTTCTAGTCACCAGGCCCCAGATCAAGCCAAGCCTTGGGCTGTCCTGGGGACAGAGCCCCAGAGAAGTGGAACGTGAGCTGAGTTGGAACCAGGCCATAAATGAGGGGTGGGTAGGGAGGGCTTGGGGTTCATGAGCTATTTTTACTGGGAGGCAGAGTAAAGTGAGAGCCTGGGTCACAGTCTCTGTTTTCAGCAGTCCCTCTGCTCCCAGGATCCCAATCAGAAAGGTTGGGCCCCTCCTAATTGCCCTTTTGGGGCTGAGGTGGAGACAGTGGGGGACTCTATCAATGGCTGGCCACAGCACTTCTCTCTGGCTGCCCCACTGGCCAGAGCTCAGGCCTGCAGGATTAAAGCTGTAATGGTGTAACTCATGTCAGTGGAATCATTGGCTCCATTCACCCCTCTCTTAGCCCTGCCTTCTACTGAACCCAGACCTCCGCCTGACCCACATCTCACAGCAGGAGAGGGTAGCACCAGTGGGTCATCCCCATCCCAGGCAGAACCCCTGAGGATCCCTGGGCTGTTTTCCAAAGTGAGATGGATTTGTGGCCGTGAGAAAGAGGGTACTCACCAGCATTTTGGGGCCAGGCCTCTGGAACATCCGAGGCACTACCAGCTATACAAAGGCACCTGTCCATCCAAGCACACTTAGATTTGGGTCTCACCACTTTCTGACCTTGAGCATGCTTCTGAACGTCCCCAAACCCCAGTGCCTTCATCTGTTTGGCGGCGATAGTTGTCAGAAAGATGAGGCAATGGAATTGAAACGCTGACTCTGTCCTTCCTGACCAGAGGCCCGGGGCTAGGGGCCAAGTGGAGAGACGTGACCACCCAACAGACTGGTGTAAGGTGCTGTTGTCAACTGCTTGATCCTCTTGGGTGCTAAGGTGTCAGGTCCTTCAGGCCCATACCAGGAATCCAGGGTAAGGTATAATAAGAATGTGAAGGCTAGGGCTGGAGAGATGGCTCAACCTTTAAAGGCTAGGCTCCCAACCAAAAATACAAGGGTTGTGAAGGCTACCTAAGGAGGGACCTGAGGGTGGCAGTGGGTATCCAGAACTGTCTGCCAGTGTTCCTTTGTTCTGACACTTGAAGTCACAGTCTTTATGCTCCACTCTCAAGACATCTGGTGACAAATGCAGGAAAGAGAATTCCATAGTTTTGAAGTTTGGCGATACTGGGAATGGGACTGGGGGCCTTAGGCATGACAGTTAAGTGTTCTGCTCTTAAGACACATTCCAAAACTGTTTTAATAGGTTTTTTTTAATATTTTTTAAGATTTACTTATTTATTTATTATGTATACAGTATTCTCGGTACTCTGCCTGCAAGCCAGAAGAGGGCACAGATCTCATTACAGATGGTTGTGAGCCACCATGTGGTTGCTGGGAATTGAACTCAGGACCTTTGGAAGAGCAGGCGGTGCTCTTAACCACTGAGCCATCTCTCCAGCCCCTGTTTTAATAGTTTTGATTCAAGTAGGGAGAATGTCAGCTTACCCAGTGTCCCCTCCTCCCAGCTCCCTAAATTCAGCCTTTTTTTTTTCAACCACCCTCAGGAAATCTAGCCCAATTTGTAGCCTCTGGCTTCTGGCTTCCAGCACCCCTCCAGGTTCTAGGTAGGGACATTGTGGTCACCATGTCCTCAGGGCCCTCTGTAGCCACATACCCAGGGGGCATTATCCCTTATTATATAATCTAGAAGGCAGGAGCTTTGAGGCCTGGGTCATAGACTGCCTTGCGCAGTGCTCTGCTCCTGAGTGAATGCACAGCTTTCCTTTCCTGGGTGAAATCAAGGGGCACATGAATTTCTCCCTGAACATGAACCTTGTCACAAAGGGGTAGCTGATGCGACTGGCCCACAGCTACAAATTCACTTTCTCCTTGAGGGTAGGGGAAAGAGATGGAGCTGGCATGTACAAGTTCTTCTGTCACACTTGAGGAGACTAGCCAGGCAGTGGTGGCGCACGCCTTTCATCCCAGCATTCAGGAGGCAGAGGCAGGAGGATCTCTGTGAGTTCGAGGCCAACCTGGGCTACAAGAGCTAGTTCCAGGACAGGCTCCAAAGCTACAGAGAAACCCTGTCTCGAAAAACCAAAAAAAAAAAATAAAAAATAAATAAATAAATAAACAAGAACAACAACAACAATAAAAAAAAACACCCAAAACACGCAAGAAGACCCTCTTTGCCTGGAAGCTAAGGTGAGAGGTACAGGATAAGGTTCCCAAGATTTGGGGAGAAATGGTGTTAATGTTTAAGGGCCCTAACAGAATTCACTGTCCTTGAGTCAACAGTCTGGGACCAATGACAAGTTGCTTTGTAGTATAGGGCGGGAGGCAGGTTTACAGCCGCCAGAGCTGCCGGTGGAGAAGGGCTAGCTCCAGTGAACACAGCCCAAGAAGAAAGGAGAAACCTTGCAGGGTAGGGAGAGGGAGGAGTCAGCGGAGTTCTGTCACATCCTGGAGCTCTTTCAATGAGGGTAGCGTTCCATCCCCCCAGCACGCCTGAGGGAGCCTAGAGGGGGCTGTACCTGCCCCTTTCCATCACTTAGCACCCCTGAAAACCAACAGACATCTCAGGAACACAAGCAGGGCTGCTGGAGGGTCAAACAGTGGCCCTTAAGAACTAGGGGACTTGCCGGCCATGGTGATGGAGACAAAGACAGGTAGATCTCTGAGCTCAAGGCCAACCTGGTCTACAGTGTGAGTTCCAGGATAGCCAGGGCTCCACAGAGAAATCCTGTATCGAAAAACAAGACAACAACCAACTAATGTTGTAAGACCCTAATGATGTAAGTGGGGTCTTACTGAACTAGGAGAAAACACTTAACAGCCTAGGGGCTGGTATAGGAGATCTGGTTGAAGAGGAGAGGTGTTTTGTTTTGTTTTGTTTGAACAAAAACATTGGCCTATAACTGCCAATGTGAGGCTCTGGGCTGAAACACACACAAACCCAGGCAAACATGAACCTGTTCCGGTGTGGGTATTCTTCTGGGGTGGGGGTGTCAGAGCTCCAAGGGATTGGGAGGGGCTTGGGGGCTGGGAAAGTAGGGCAAAGGTAGCGTGGGAATACAGTGGAGCCCATGAAAAGGTTAGTAAGAAAGGGAAGCATGGCAGTTAGCAGAAGGGAGGCACCTAGGCAAACAGACACTTGTGGCCAAGAGAGAAGGAAGGGAAAATGAAGGAAAGAACCAGGGGCTGGAGGGCTGGAGAAGGGAGTTCCAGAAGGGCAGAAGGCTTTCAGGCAATATAGGCCACCCACTGGATGTTGTACCCCCTAGTCCTGGGCCTGACTTCCATGCTGCCTCCAGCTGGATAGCATCTGCTGTCCGGGGTGGGGGCTGTGCTCTGGGAAACTTGGTTTTCCAGAAAAGCGTGGTCTTGAGTGAATGACCCTTGTCCAGGTCTTAGTTCTCAACGGTAGCCTGGCCTCGAGACCTGGAGCCGTTTGTGCTCCTGAGAGCCTCCGCAACCTCCGGTGCCCACTTATGATGTCAGACAGACCATGTCCCAGGCTTTGGCGTCTCCTGGCAAGGGAAAGTGGAGCCAAGTGAGAACAAGAGAAGGATTTCTCGGTTTAGGGGCAGCAAACATGGAATGGAACCCGGGGAAGAACAGGGAAGACAACGCAGAGGAAGCTGCTCGGAGAGGCTGAGGTCAGTGGAGCTATTCTCAAGGGGAACTTGGAGTTAAGTCTGGATTCATTAACTTGAACGATCATTTGCTTTCTTTGAACCGCCCCCCCTTTTTTTCCTCTCCATTTTAAAACGCAGATGCTGGATGTGGATAGCTCTTTTCTAATACTAGTTCAGGCCCTCCTCAGTTTTAGACAGAGGGTTCTAGTGCGGCAGGCTAGGTGACTGCGGGTTCGGGTGCGGCAGGAGGACCGCGGAACACGTGGAGCAGGCAGGAACGCTTCTGCGAATCCCGCTGATCCTGAGCGTAAGCTTCTGCTCCACACTTGGCTCCTACCCCGGCGCTGCACCGACAGTCGTGTAGTGTGGGGCCAATGTCCCTTTCCCACCCTCTGATCTTCTCCCCTGACCTCCGCGGCCCGCTCTAGGTCCAAGCTTTAGGTAGCTCTGAAGAGCAGAAAGGCTGGGACGCAATTTGCCTCGAGGTGGCGCTGCGCTCCCACAATCAGCTTTAAACGCACTCAAATGATTACATCATCCCAAGCCTAGAGGTCTCTGGGAGGAGGTAAGGCGTGACTACCCCCTCCTCCATCACCACCCCTCGCCCCGCTTCGCACCCCCACCGGCTAAATCGTGTTTTCATTTAAAACGCTGCAAAGATGAAAGGTTCTTGAAGGACACTTTAAGGCTAGAGATTGGCTCAGCACAAGCCTTTAATACACACAGCCACAGCGGCAAGATCTGAGTTCAAGGTTAGCCAGGTCTATATAGAAAAAAAAAAAAACAGCGAGGCTATTGGCTTCCAGGGGCTTGGCTGTAAGATCAGCTGAAGGCGCCCTTAAGCATCTAGCTGGTGCCCTGTACCCATCATGTGCGAGCCTGTGGGCTTGGCTCCAAATCACACCCTTGGAGAGCCGAGAGCCAGCTGGTTTCTCTCCTCCCCGGGAATACCCGTTACTTAAGCAGTGGATGGGTTGGGGAGGAATGGGGTCGGAGTGGACACTGGGATAGGAGTTGACTCTCTCTTATTTAAGCCAGTCCTAGGACAGCTGTTCTGCTTCTGTAGGGAGGTAGGATCCCGCTCATATTCCAACCACTCTGCTCTCCACTACTGAAGCTAAACATAAATAATAAAATAAAATAAAATAAAATAAAATAAAATAAAATAAAATAATGGAGGCAGCGAACCTGTCTGTGACCAAGAGCCAAGGTGGCAGTTTCATGGCGCCACAGCTCCCTCCAGGTCAGTAAGAGTCAGAAAGAGACTTGTGAGGGCAGTGTTGGGGGTGGAACCTGAGGCCTCCGTGTTAGCCATAGGAGCTAACACTGAGCTTCACCCCTAACCAGGACAGCGGTGGCTCTGCCTCCAGCTGGAGCACCCTGGCCTGAAGTCACCCTGGTGCAGGTGTTGTCCTCACTCAGTCACTCTGGTTCTCTGTGCCTTCCTTGGCCTATAACTGCTGTGAGTTGAGGAACTGGCCCTGAGCCCACAGTATGAAGAGTCCCAGAAGGATCGTCCCTGAACGTGCCTAATATAGCTATCCCTGGGCCCTGTGCGCCTCTCTGCCCTGTCACCCCTGAGAACAGTTCTGGGCATAGATATAAGGCAGAGAGACAGACTGAGGAGCAGCCCTGGAACACCAGGTCAGGAGGTTGTCTCCTCGGGAGTTCAAGCACTCCCCCATACCGCCCTTTCTGCAGCATACAGCACAGGCTCCACGGTTGGTGTCCATAAAGA